CTTCAATAAGGTGAATAACGTGGACACCAGATTTATCTAATTTGAATTAGGCAATTCAGTTAATTAGATAACTTGGACAAGACATTTGACTAATTTGGATAATCTCAAAACGTCCCATCGTTTAATTTTCCAGAAAGTATTCAATGCCTATAAAATTATAAATATTAAACCAAGCCGTATATGTATATATTTGCTATGTATGTTAGTTGATTGCATAATCATATTTACCAACCCTTTTTTCTATTTCAGAAACAATAAAATTCCCTTTTTCTGAAACCCACAACAAATCAGATATTGTCAATATGTTTGACGATTTTATTTAATCCCTTTAGCTTATGTTATGCTTCTTAAAACATCCCCATTAAAGACCAAACATTTGCAGTATTTAAGAAAACAACTGACAACTGTTTTGAACACTCATGACTGCAAACTATTATATGAATGTCAAAACCTAAGCCAGACAAAAACTGACATACAAAACAAAAAAAAAATATTTCTTTTGAAGCTGAAGCCATAAGAATATCGCAATTAGCAGCACCTATGGGCTTTTTGTTATTATTTCAGGATGGTGGAAGCGTGTGCACAATGACTGCTGATTAGTGTCGAAATCTCGGAAAATATTAGAAAACAAACTAAAAGCAGAAAGACCGAGCATTGGTATCAATACAGGTCAGCCATCGTCCACTTTCCCCCTCTCCGAAAGATAAAACGCAAATCTCACTTACTAGAGTATTTTCATTGAATATTTTCTTTGTTTGTTTATTTAATAGCTTTATAGCATATCTGTTGTACAACATTGAATTGGGTTTGACGTAGGTTTAGCTATTCTACGATTAGCAGGTGAGGCAGCTACTTTACTTTGGTTTTGTCACATCACCTTTCCAACGTAAGCCATTTATTTGATTTTGTGGTTATAGCATAAACGCACACACACCCAGAGACAGACGGACGCAAGTCAAACAAATGCAAATGTAAATAAAGGTGGACCTATTGACGTTTAACCCAACAGCTGGTCGGACAGACGATCGGCGGACGTCCGTTCAAACACTTCGGTCATACTTCCAACCATTAATAAATAAATAATGAACTCTCGTAGTTGTTTTTTTTTACCCCACATTACTTGCATGCACCTCAGTACGCCTATTTTCATTGATGGACGTTTTTTGTTGCTGCGTTTTTCTGCTGTTTTGTTTTGATTTTTAAATAAATACTCTATTTTACTCTTACTCTTACGAATGTGTAGCACGGAAACAACCCACATTTGATTTCGTTGTGTGCGGCTTTATGTAGAATGCAATGATAAGCTTTTGAATACAATATTTAGCAAAGGCTCTTATTACACATCCCCTTTCTTAGCGCATGGATTTTGAAATTTAATTTAAGGTATGTTGTTCGTTTCGCATAGAAGCCTTATATCGAGCTGATAATCCAACTTCTAACAAAAAATTTGATTACAAAATATTGGCAATGATGCATTGTCCAAGTTATCGACTTGACCCATCCACGTTATTAAAATTATTGAATGCCTTATCCAAGTTATGCAAATAACTGAAATACCTTATCCACGTTATCCAAATGACTGCTATACCTTATACACGTTATTCGTAGCTGTATTTATTATCTACACCACAAGGTGGTCAGGGTATTATGTCTTTGTGCATTTGTTTGTAACAGGCAGAAGGAAACGAGATAGACCCATAGTTCCTTTTGATGATCTGCATAGAATCACATTCTGAGTCGATTTATGCCGTCTGTCCGTCCGTCCATGTATTTTTGTAAACAAAGTACAGGTCGCATTTATTGCCCGATCCAGATGAAATTTTGCAAAGATCTTTTGTTTGGCTCAAGGACGAACCCTATTGAAATTGGAGCTAATCGGTCAAAATTTAGATATAGCTCCCATATATATCTTCGTCCGATTTGCTTTTTATTGTGCACCAAACGTGTAATATCAGCCCGAATTGTATGGAATTTTGCATATACACCCAAATTAGGCCTGAAAATATGTATGCCAAATTTGATGGAAATCGGTTCAGATATAGCTATAGCTCCCATATATATTGTTCATCCGATTTATTATTTTTGTCCACCACCGCCGTAATATGCACTCTGTAACAGCAATATTTGGGGAAATATATCAAATACAGCTCAGAAATACATTTGCTAAATTTTATCGAGATCGGTTCAGATTTGGATATAGCTCCCATATATAACTTCGTCCGATTTACTTTTTATTGTGCACCAAACGTCTAATATTTGTCCAAATGGGATGGAATTTGGCACTAACGATCGAATTGAGTCTAGAAGCTAGTATGTCAAATTTGGTGAAGATCGGTTCAGATATAGCTATAGCTTCCATATATATTATTCATCCGATTTGTTATATTTGTTACCCACAACCGTAATATGCACTCCGTAACAACGATATTCAGGGAAATATATCAAATACAGCTCAGAAATATCTTTGCCAAATTTTATCGAGATCGGTTCAGATTTGGATATAGCTCCCATATATATCTTTTTATCCGATTTCAAATTAATTGTGCACCAAATGGGCAATACAATTCCGAATTTAAAAGATACAAATGCTTCGGCATATTTAGTCCTTTGAACTTTAAATTATAATTATAATCATAGGGTGTATGATTGAATTCTCCCATAAAAACTTTTAATTGTTATGCGCAGCTCTACTAAATTAGCAAAGTGGTGTAGGGTATCATAAAGTCGGCCCCGCCCGACTTTAAGACTTTCTTTACTGTTTTTTTTTTTTTTCTAATATTTATTGCCCGTGTTATCCAAATATCTTTACTATATTATCCACATGACTAAAATACCCTATCCACGTTATCCAAATGTCTGAAATACCAATTAGTAAAAAGTACCAAAAATAAAGCTTTGGCGACTCGCTTGTCATCAGTAATATAGTCGTAGAGAATTTACGCCAAAAAATATAAGCATTTCATGAAATTCAAATCGGAAATTTAAAAAAAAAAAATGTGGAAGAGTTGAGAAGTCTATTTATGTCAATTGAGACGTAAACATTCAAATCGTCGTCGATACAAGTATCTGCCTTTTTAATTCTACTTTCACAATCTACTAAGTTTTTCATGGATTTTTTTGTTTGTTTTGTATTGTGCATTATAATATATAATAAGCAATATTAAATTCTGTCATTCTTCAAATATTTGGATTTAGAAAACCGAGTTACTTACGTTTGAAGACAAAGACAATAAAAGCTCTTACGGAATGAATAATACTACGGTAGATTAGTGCAAAATTGAAACGAACACACAAATGAACAAACAAAAATAGTGATGTTAAACAAAACAAACAACAACAAACCAGAAGTAAAGCAGGTGAAAATAGAATCTTAAGTATGACTGGAAAAAAAACTTGCAAATTACAAAAAAAGACGTTAAATTTGTTTCAATCGAAAGACCTTGCAAATACACGTGGCAACATGTAGTCATGCTCAAGTCCGTCAACTGCACTGAAAGAGTATCACGTGTTTTATCAGGGCTGCAAACTGGTTCTGAACCGAATCGCTTTTTCTATAAAATAACCGAAATCGGAAAAAGGTATATATAGGAGCTACATCCAAATCTGAACCGATCTCGATACAATTTAGCAAAGATATTTCTGAGCTGTATTTGATATATTTCCCTGAATATCTTTGTTACGGAGTGCATATTACGGTTGTGGGTAACAAATATAACAAATCGGATGTATAATATATATGGAAGCTATAGCTATATCTGAACCGATCTTCACCAAATTTGACATACTAGCTTCTACACTCAATTCGGTCGTAAGTGCCAAATTCCGTCCCATTTAGACAAATATTAGACGTTTGGTGCACAATCCAAGGTAAATCGGACGAAGTTATATATGGGAGCTATATCCAAATCTGAACCGATCTCGATAAAATTTAGCAAATGTATTTCTGAGATGTATTTGATAAATTTCCCCAAATATTGTTGTTGCAGAGTGCATATTACGGCTGCGGAGGGCTAAAATATCAAATCGGATAAACAATATATATGGGAGCTATAGCTATATCTGAACCGATTTCGATCAAGCATACTTATTTTCAGGCCCAATTTGGGTGTATATGCAAAATTCTATACAATTCGGGTTGATATTACACGTTTGGTGTACATTAAAAGGCAAATCGGACGAAGATATATATGGGAGCTATATCTAAATTTTGACCGATTATCTCCAATTTCAATAGGGTTCGTCCTTGGGCCAAACAAATGATCTGTGCAAAATTTCATCTGTATCGGGCAGTAAATGCGACCTGTACTTTGTTTACAAAAATACATGGACAGACGGACGGACTGACATGCATAAATCGACTCAGAATGTGATTCTATGCAGATCATCAAAAGGAACTATGGGTCTATCTCGTTTCCTTTTGCCTGTTACAAACAAATGCACAAATACATAATACCCTGACCACCTTGTGGTGTAGGGTATAAAAAGTATATATTGTGCCAGACTAATTTTTATATCGCCACTAAATCATTCATCATCTAGATATCTCTCCACAATGATGTTGTGTTCATTGAGCCAATGAAATTTGGCGAAGTGAATGAGCGTAAGTTCAGGAAAACATTTACTAGTCGTTTAAAAAAATACCAAAGTGTCGATCACCTCAAGCAAGCGTTTCGCCGGGAATGGGCCAAAATACCGTAGAGCAACATTCGGGCAGCTTGTGACTGTTTCATTGTCCGTTTGAAGGCCATAATTTGTGCCAAAGGTGACCAATTTGAAAAAATCTAAACGTATTCTAAAATTTGATGATATTTCCGACATTTTTGGCTTCATTCAAAAATGTAAAAATTATGGTGTTTGGCTTTGTTGTAGTTTTTTTTATCTCTCCCTGTAAATGCGACCTGCTTTTTGGTCACGATTTTTCAAACCAAACCAAACATATTCTCTAATTTGAGGCCAATGGCAAATGCGTAACCTATTAGTTTTCAATTTAGCCAACTTACTTGGGATCTTGGATGCGTATGGATACATCATCGGTCGAACGTTGTTTAGAGCGCATTGGTGTTGATATTACCGTGGATCCGTACACACGTATAGCCTCATCGGTCTCTTCTTCGAAGGCATCATGAATGGAAAAACGTTTCTCCTTATTCTGACGGCCAACGGAGAAATTACCGTTGCTATTATGCATTGTGTACGGCAGATTAGTTGCAGTACTGGTGAGGGTGGTGGTAGTTATTAAGTAGGGCCCCTCAACGCTGCTTGGTGTATCGTTTACTTTGATTAGTAGGCGTGAGAATCGTTTTGTATGCAACAAGAGCGTTGTGTTCTACTGCACTTTCACTCCGTCTTCTGGTTATCAGTCGTTTTTGTTGATTTGATGTATTTTTCTGGTCTTTTCTTCTTCTATAAATTTTGTTGTGTGTTATTTATTGCTCTATCCCTTGTTTTTGTTGTTAACAACAATGTTTTGATGTTCTTTCTTCTTGAACTATTTTTTGTTCTCTTGTTTGTTGTTCTTCGTTTTTGTTTTCTTCTTTTCTCTTTACAAAATAAGAAAACAAAACAACAACATGAACATGCAGCTCTGAACACTACCACCACTTAACTCTGCTTCTGCTGCTGCCGTAACAATAACAACAAAAATGGCAACCAACCAAAACACACGGATACATGAAAATGATGGTATGGTATTTTTTTCGTTTTTTGTTTTGTTAAGTGTTTTGGTAAAATTTTACTTCGCACTAAAATAAATTAATTTTTGTTGTTTTTGTTTCTATTTTTTGATTTATTGTCGCACAACACATCAACCGACAACGACAATAGCGCAAACATTGAAATGAAAGAAATGTTCATTTCATAAACACTTTTCTGCTGCACTACACGGCTTCAGAACTGATTTGCTTCACAATTTTCTATTTTTCACAAATAGTTGGTGCAACTTTTCAGCTATATTCACAAAATTTTCTTTTACCTTGCCAAAAAAAAGAAACCTAAGATTCACATTGCCATTTAGAATAACTTTTTGGCCGACATTAAATTTCTTAGAATTTTAATTTTCTATTTTTTTGGAAACATTATTTTTTTTTTTTTTGTTTCTTCAACAACATTATTTTCTTAATTTGCCATTTTAGAAAATAAAATGGACCATGACTTCTTTATTGAAGTTGTTTCGTCGATTTTAAGGCGTCGTTGTTTGCTTCTGCGCCTTTTTAATTTATTGACTCCACAACAGCAACAACTTCGCACCAAGTTGGGCACTAGATATTCTTAACGTTTAAGATTTTTATTTACACAAACTTCCTTGGTCAGCAAAGTTGAAAAACAACTAAATTTTTACAACAACTAGTCAACAAAAAAATGTTTCTTCTACTTCACTACTTCCCGTAATTCGCACTAACAACCGACGTCGTTTCACCCAACAACCACCGAAAAAATAGACTGACTGAGTTAGGGATACGTAAGTAGACTATCGATGTTTTGGTGTTGAAAAGTCTATGGTAAAAATCGTAATATTGACTTTTTGTAATCGATTTTCGATTTTGACATCATATATATGCCCTGTTCCAGAACTGTAAGAATGTAAAAATATTTAAAACGGTAAACGGTTTTCACTTCCTATTTATTTATTATATGAATAAATATAATAATAAATATATAAATAAATATTCTCAGTAAGAATTTATAAAATTTTAATAACACAGTAATGTAAATGTAATGTAATGCCACTTCACCTCCATTTATTGCAATTTGAATTATCGAACAACATTTTGTAATAATTTGTACAAAAGAAAATAAATTATTGGGTTATCGTTCACACCAATTAATTTTTGCTTTGTTCCAGAAATGCAAGAATGTATTAGTTTTTACTTCAATACCCGATTGTTCCTTTATGATATTGGAAACTTTAGAAAAAAAAACTAGTGGAGAAATAGAAAATAAAATAGAAAATAGAAAATAATAAAAAATAGAGAAATAATTTTTAGTTAGATATTTTTTCCACACTTTTGTTTTAGAAACTGATGAACAATCTTTAGAATTAAGGAGCTTAAGGAGTTAATCTTTCTTAGTTTTGAAGTCATTTTTGAAAATGTTAAAATTAATTTTAAAAAGTTTTGAAAAAAAAAATGAAATAAAACGTGTGGATTTGATTTTGGCTTCTCCAATTTTGTCTAAATTCGTACAAAGAATCATGGAAAATGTGGAACGAATTTGCAGTTGGACAAACCTTACGGAAATTAAAATTACAAGATGTGTAATAAAAACATATGATAATTGTAACGTAATTATATTTTAGTAGGAAAAATAACCCTTTTCGGAAAACACGGGTCTAGAATCCTACGACAAAGGGCAATGCATATGGGATTATTCGTCCACGACCTTAATAAACACACTGTGTTATACGTAAATCTTAAAGATAGAATTTCTATTTTTAAATTATTTTATAAACCAAAAATATGTTCTAATTTAATAATTTATTCGTTGCCGACTTTTTAAAAATACAAATGCCGATTTTTTCTGAAAAATTGACGATTTTTCTTCAAGTTATGTTGGCAGCCCTGATTCAGAACATTTATTTCGTGTTGTTATCCAGCTGAATATTGAGAGAATAATTTAAAGGGTTAACTAAATCGACTTTCCAGACTAATCGATTGTAAAAGTGAAAGAACAAACGAAATAGTAAATAAAAAGTGGGAATTTTGTGGAAGTCTATGAAAAGACAATAAATTGAACTCGATTTAGGTGTCCCTAGTTATTATAAATGATCGCTGTAAAGAGTTAAATAAGGGTGGAAATACATAAAGCACATATTTGGCTGGCTTAAGTCATCGGCCGACTTCTTCGTAGATGAGCAAAGGAGTTTTAGGTTGACTTAGTTCGATTTTGGCCATAAACAAAATACGATAACCGATTTTTCCTTAACAATATCGAAAAAAGAATTACAAAACTAATAGATTCTTGCAGGTTTTGGAACAAAGCACAATAAGTCAAGGAAGGCTAAGTTGGAAAATTTTGCAAGCATGGAGACCTACCTGTATGGATTGTAATGCCAGAATTACTATAAAATTCGACAAGTTGCTTATTATCAAATGGCTTAACTCTAGTTTAGTAAAAACTCTTCAATTTTTTCGAAAATTTTTTCAGTGGTAGGTATTTTAACCATGATCCCGGGAAACTATTTTTTTCTTGGGGGACGGACCTGGGACCCCAGATTTTTGACCCGAAAGTCCGGGTTTGAGACCCCGACTAGACCCGGATCCACTTACCCGATATAGACAATATGGGTATCGTTGGAAAGCTTATGGAAATACCTATCCAACAAGTGGTCACATGATGGTAAGATGTTACGGTTCGGAAGTTATAGTCAAATTATCGATTTTTTGGACCCGGATTTTTTATAAAACCCCCAAAAAGTCAAAAAAGGGTCCATTATGGGGGACAACAAAATTGATGCCAAATTATAGCTGACACATCTACCTTTCCAAAAAGGTTCAATTTGTGCTAATACCTTTACTGAGTCCAGAGATATGGGTCTTTCCATCCGCATAACCCGATTCTAACCAGTTCATTAAAACTATGTTTTCAATAAAAAAATGTATATTTTGCGTAAGAATGAAATTCAGAAATCTTTGGTTCGCGTTAGCCGGTGTAGGACATACCCAGAGGAGAAAATCTCAAGCCCCGGCCGAAGGCCGGCTACTTACAAAAGGTATCCAATTAAGAAAACTTTGGTTCGCGTTAGCCGGTGTGGGACATACCCAGAGGAGAAAATCTCAAGCCCCGGCCGAAGGCCGGCTATTTTCAAAAAGTGTCAAATTTAGAAAACTTTGGTTCGCGTTAGCCGGTGTGGGACATACCCAGAGGAGAAAATCTCAAGCCCCGGCCGAAGGCCGGCTATATACAAAAAGTGTCAAATTTAGAAAACTTTGGTTCGCGTTAGCCGGTTTAGGACATACCCAGAGGAGAAAATCTCAAGCCCCGGTCGAAGGCCGGCTACTTACAAAAGGTATCCAATTTAGAAAACTTTGGTTTGCGTTAGCCGGTGTAGGACATACCTAGAGGAGAAAATCTCAAGCCCCGGCCGAAGGCCGGCTATTTACAAAAAGTGCCGAAATTATGAACCTTTTGTTCGCGTTAGCCGGTGTCGGACATAACCATAGGTGAAAATCTCAAGCCCCGGCCGAAGGCCGGCTATTTACAAAAAGTGCCAAATTTAGAACACTTTTGTTATTCCGACGACTGCTACGCGAAATAAACACTTTTTTATTAAAAACATCATTTTAATGAACTGGTTAGAATCGGGTTATGCGGATGGAAAGACCCATATCTCTGGAACCGGAAAAGGTATTAGCACAAATTGTAGCATTTTGGAAAGGTAAGAGTGTCAGCTATAATTTGGAAACAATTTTGTTGACCCCCATAATGGGCCCTTTTTTGACTTTTTGGGGGTTTCATAAAAAATCCGGGTCCAAAAAATTGATAATTTGACTATAACTTCCGAACCATGACAACCCCTTCATGTGACCACTTGTTGGATAGGTATTTCCATAAGCTTTCAATCGATACCCATATTGTCTATATCGGGTGAGTGGATCCGGGTTCAGGCGGGGTCTTGATCCCGGACTTTCGGGTCAAAAATCTGTGGTCCCGGGTCCGTCCCCCAAGAAAAAAATAGTTTCCCGGGATCAGGGTAAAAATACCTACTTCTGGAAAAATTTTCGAAAAAATCTAAGAGTTTTTACTAAACTAGAGTTGTTCCAAAAATTGAAAACGAAAGTTCTTGATTTCAACAATTTTCATATAACTGAAAATAACACACACATGCACACATAAATTGGGTAAAAAACAAAAAAGAGGTGAAAAACATTAAGTTCGGCCGGGACGAACTTTTATTACCCTTCACCATTGGGTAAAGAAAACATTTTTATATAAAAGTATCTGAATTCAAACGTGTTCCATGCTGTTAAACTTTTCAAAAAACCATAAAGTGGGTTAGACCGTTATACGGGGCCACATTTGTCATCTAGCCATTATGACATACAAATACCAATTTTTACACAAACCTGTAAACAAATGTGGCAAAAATCATAAAAATACCGAATATCGGGAGGTATCATTATATGGGGGCTATACCAAAACGTGGACCGATATATTTAATTTTCAATACCAACTTTCCTAAACACAATACAAATTGTTCTGCCAAATTTTGAAGCTTTGCGTCAGATAATGTGGGCTGTATCGTGATTTCAACAGACGGACAGACAGGCAGACTTAGATTTTATGCTGATTATGAATCTATATACTTTATGGGGTCTACGACGAATATTTAAGAATGTTACAGACGTAATGACAAAGTTAATATACCCTCCTTTCCAAGGTGGAGGGTATAAAAAATTAAAATCGATTGGTTTCAGTGCCCTATCTTGATTTCATTGCTTCTAAGTAAATTTGTATATGTTTTCCCAACGACGCCAATCGGAGGTTGTAATCATGACTTGCATGCAACAATTGGTTTTGTTAATTTAGAATTTTTTTTTTAAAATTACTTAAATGCGGAAAACCCACAAAACCTGAATGGAATTTTGGGATTTCGCCACAAAATTGAATCCAAGATAGAGGGACAATATTGTATTTCCCAAAACTTTACATTTTGTCCCTTATTATCGTGAAAAATATGTATTTCTGTTCTCTTTAAATTTGTTCTACCTTCTGCAATTGTGCCATGGTTCTAATGATATGCTTTTTTTTAAACAATTAGTCTGTTCCAGAATGTAAAATTTTTTACTACGATAACCGATTTCGCTTCAATGATATCGAAAAGGCGTGGGTAACTCCTCGAAATATTCATAATAGACCCTACAAAGTATATATTCCGGATCAGCGTAAAAGTCTAATTGATCTAGTGGTGTTCGTCTGTCTGTTGTAATCACGTTATCTTTCGAACGAATTCAGATAGAAGGCTTACACGCATAGTTTACCAGTAGGCAGGTTAAGTTCGTGAATGGGCCATGTCGGTCCACGTTTTCGTATGGCCCCCATATTACGGTACCTTCCGATACTAAGTTTCCGGGAGTTTTTTGAAACTTTTCAAGTTCCTTCCAAATGGTGGAGGATATTAAAAGTCAAGCCAAGAAAATAAAAAAAATTAAAATAAAATCCTTGATTTTATTGAACTATGCATTTTTCTATAGCCGTTACGTTACTTTCGTACATGCGGTATTTTGATTTAAACTGAAAGTTGTCTATGTAGGTTCACGTTTCAGTTTAGCGCACATAAAAAAACGGCACCGCTCACTTAAAAATATTTTTAAAACTTTAACTGCATTTTCCAACTGATTGTATTTTAATATAGAATCTCAATACTTTTATTTATATAAGTTTTCTTTACCTAATGGCGGCCGAACTTTCACTTTTTTCTTGTTCCTTATTAGAATATAATATATATAATATATATCGCGCTTGAAGAAAATTCTTATAACTAAATTCCACAACATCGTAACGTACAATTTCAAGAAAATTCCTTTGTAGAAATCTCAATATTTTCAAAATCATTTGTAGTCGTGTCATCAGGAATATATCCACTGCGAAGGCACAAACGTTGATGTCTAAAAAAAAAATAAATAGAATAATAATATTATTAATTTTAATTACACATCTGCTTACCTCCATTGTCTAAGAGGACCCAGTCCGAATATTAAAAATATTACGAAACCAAAAATGGCACTAACAAAACTTGATAAATAGAACCAAAAATTTTCATCTGATGATTGATGGACACTTTTAATATTTGTGACGGTATCGATTAGACACACCAGAGCCATGACAAGTAGTAACAGGCCATAACGTTGGGCACTAGAGAGGGGGAGTAAACAAAACATTAAAATAGGAAACCTTTCAAATGCATTGTTTTCAAACTAACAATTGTAGTTGTTGAAAATGCTGCTTGGAATCCGGGTTCAACTTAAGCGATGATTTTAGTGTTATAATCACCACCATATAGAATGAAATATCCAAACATAGCAGAATGGCATTTAGACCGAACAAATAAGTCAGTGCAGACCAATTAGTTGCTGGAAGTAAGATGAAAATGTTTTACCTTATATTTTAGTGACAAATATAGCAATACTTACGACTAAACCAACAAAAATCTCCACCAATCCCAGACTTGTAATCAAGGCCAATATTTGAATTTTCCAATATTATCAGTATGAGAGAAAGACAAAGAGGCAGGCCCATGGCATAAACAGCATAGAAAATAAATGGTTTTTTGTTTTCCAGATCTCCACTAGATAAGTGTAGTTTCTTGAACATATTGTAAGAGATTATATTCAACCAAAAGTAGGAGGCCACCAGGAAGTAGTAGGCGATATAACCTACAAGGATTGAAATTATACAGGAGCAGGATATGTAATAAAGCTTTCAATTACCAATGAAACCGCATAGGAAATGTGGTAGTACCACATTTGGCAAGGCAATAATACTCAAGGTTATGCTGCCCACAGCCAGACACACTAGGAAACATATTAAAAGTTTTCCTTGGAAGTTTTGCAAATTTGGAAGTAGAACATAGGCAAGCACGGTGGCAATTATAAAGAGAGTTGTTATGATGCCGGCTGGAAAGAGAAATTAAAAACAACAACAACTACATTTAATAACAATAAACTGAAGACAAATGTGACCTTTTAGAGGAATTATTTGGCCTTAAGATAATTTTGAGGTGTTCTATGGAAAGAAGACGTCGTATTCGGCATTGTTTATGAAAAACATTTTTTATAGATTTTTATAAGATTTTTTATAATTACACAGTGTAACAAAATAACTACAGGAAAAAAAATTTGGCAGGTTATGAAAGTATCGGCGTTATTAACCTAAATAGAGGAGGTAGGAGATGTCCTTCAACCTTTTTCGAATCTTTCGCATAAAGATTCCATGGAATGCAATAATACAGATAACAACAGAAGGATTTTTTTTTTCAAAAAATGTTTAAATATTCCCTTTGAATGAGTTTAAATGGTTTATTTGTCATAAACTCTTACTATAGGTCCCAGAAGACATCAAAAGTCTAAAACTTACTAATAAAATACATTTTTGGGTTTAAAGCCGCACTTTATTTGAATTTAAGACAAATTCGACTACAAAGCATCATTTCAAAAGGATGACGTCAAAGACAAAATTTATTTTTTTATCAAATTTTATTATGAGTTACCATTTATATACATACATCAAGAAAATATTTGCATAAATGTTGGCAAAAAACCCCATACCCCAACATATTTTCTATTTTTATACCCTCCACCATGCATAGTATGGAGGGTATATAAATTTCGTTGCGTCATTACGTTTGTAACTCATCGTAATAACAATTTTAGACATAACAAAGTTTTCTTGATCAGCGTAAAATTCTAAAACGATTTAACCCAGTCCGTCCGTCTGTCCGAAGATCGATCCACGATATCGTATTTGAAAATTTGATATTTTGATTATTTTAGCGACATTATTCACCGGAGTTGTTTCAAATTTCGTATTTAGAGTTCATAATGGGAACTACAGTCTATGACAGAAAATTGTCCATGCAGGTCCAGGTCTTCGTATAGGCCCCATATATCAGTACCTCCCTATATTCGGATTTTAGGTACAATATTCACCAAAATTGTCTGTAGTTTGCATTTGAAGTTCCTAATAGGTACTAAAGCCTGTGACAGAAAATTGTCTATGTAGGTCCAGGACTTCGTATAGCCCCGATATAACGTTACCTCCCTATATTCGGTATTTTGATGATTTCAGCTACATTATTCAACGGATTTTTTTCAAGTTTCGTATTTGGCTTATGACAAAAGATGTCAATGAAGGTCCACGTCTTTGTGTAGACCCCATTAAAACGTTAACATTCGGGATTTTCAATATTTTAACAGCATTTTTTTGGTTTTTGTTTTGAAAATTTCCAAATTTGTTCCAAATGGTGGAGGGTATTGAAAGTTCGGCCGGGCCGAACCTACAGCGTTTTTACCTGGTTTTTGGCCAGTTTATTAATGTATGAAAACATAAAATTTCGTTTTGGGCGAAAAGTATTTAGACAAGAACTTTTCTTACGTTGCGACTTAAACTTTTAAGAACGCGGATACGTGAGTCTTCTATTTCTAGCTCTACTTTCATAATCTGCTGAATTTGTTATTATATTAAAAAAAATTATTCATCGACTATAAGTCTTCTATACTCAGAATACCTTGCAATGATCTTCTAGACATAAAATGCACGATAGATATCTCACATATAGAGAAACTTCTACCACTTTTACAAGATCTTCGATGGATCTAAACTAGAAAACTTATTTGGTTTCCCATAAAAGTTCTTGTACTTACCAACGCTGCTAACCACTTCCAATGTTATCTCCTCATTTTCCACCGCCACTGGGCATAGCATAGGCGTTAAAATCTTTTCTTTACCATTCTCTTTTGGTGCAAAGGCCATACAATAGTGTCTCCTTTCCAAATGAAGTTCTCCATTAAATATGGACAGCGTACCATTGGCATATAACTGCCATTGAGCACCTCCCACAAGATCCAGAGCATAGGCATTTTGACAGGGTATACCCGATGTTAATATGAAATCTTTAGTTACATCTCTGCTGATGATTGAGCCATTTCCATAGGTGATATTATGATGGGCAGTATAGGGCAAATCAATATGTGATTCTTCGCAACCAAAGCTTAAGTTTGTTATATACTCCCGTACAGGTTGTTGACAACAAAATCTAAGACAGTTGTTCTCCGCATTACAAATGCAGGCACGGGGATGTGGTTCCACTGCAACACGTCGACCATCGAACAGCTCTTTATAATCATAAATGTGAACTTGTTTGGCCGTTATGAATATTTTATTGTCGTAAAAATACGATCCATTGGGGAATCTATGGGCTAGTCTTAAATCAATTGTGTCTTGAAACTTGCATGACGTAAATTCTCTGGCATAGCTATTGTATTCCCAGCTTAATACAATTAAAAACACAAGTAAAATTTTATGATTCATAATTAAAAAAAAACCAAAGAAAAACCGAAACTGTAAAAAACAAGGTAATTGAATATTGATTAGTCGTTGTTGTCATGTAATTATGGATGTAAGAGTGTGCATTTTCAATAATTTCTTTAGAATTTTTATACATTTTCCATAGAGTGAATTCATGGCACCTCTGTAATATATATATGAACACTTCCTTAGTTTTTAAGGCCCAAATAGCTTTTAAGAATAAACCTTAAGGATTAAAATTCATGAAATTTCAGGTTTGAGGTTCCTTGGAATCTGTTCATTTTAGGTATACAATCTGTTCTTCGGCAATTTTACAGATAATGGTACAAGGAATAGTTTGGTAAAAAATTGGAACCGCAAAATATTTTTCAGAATATGGTTTAAAATTTAGTATAACCGTGATCGTAACAAGTTGAAATATATATATACAGGGTGGTATGAAAAAACTGCAACCAACTTCATACTGCTGTGAATTCTAAGCCACTCGTCCGACAGCTGTTAAAATTATTCCAATGACACCTCAAAGCATTTTTGGTGAGAATTTACCAGAAAAGAAGTTATGCGTGATAGAATTCAAGCGTGATTCCTTTATATTTGGGTGGAAAGCCACTTGTGGTTTCATTAAAGCACTCCTGCATTTAAATGTGAATCTCGTACCATCGCTCGTTACCGTGATACTAGTAGCGTAGCCCGACGTCAAGGAAGTGGACAAAAGAAAACAGCAAAATCAAGAGAAATGGTTCGAAAAGTAAAGAAGCGACTTGATCGAAACCCGCGCTGCAGTGGCCGAAAAATGGCTCGTGAGCTGATTCCATTCGGCAAATATAGAAAAATGAGATCGGGGTAAAGTCATTGAAATTCCAAAAAGTGAAAGAACTTACACTGCAACGTAGAGAAAATGCGCTTCGCTTGGCCGAAAGTGGTAAACTGCCGAATTTGGTTTTCTCCGATGAGAAAACATCCGTTGTCCAGCAGTTTGTAGACTAACAAAATGATCTATGTTTACTTGCTGAAAATGTCCATCGTCGGTTGGCCATAAGAACCCCATATAACGGTACCTCCATATATTCGGTATTTTGATGATTTTAGCTACATTTTTCAATGCAATTGTCTAAAATTCATACTAGAAGTTCTTTCTAAGTACTTTATGCCCTGAAAGAGTATTGTCTTTTTATAGGTCCACGATATCGTACATCCCACATATAACGGTACCCCTCAATATTCGATATTTTGATGAGGGTCATTATTCACCGGAGTTGTTTTAAATTTCCTATTTAGAATTCGTAATGAATACTACAGCCTATGAAAACACATTGCGTATGCAACAAATCTTCGAATAGCCTCCATATAACGATACCTCCCGATATTCCGTATTTTGATGATTTTTGTCAAATTTTTCCACGGATTTGTCTAAAAATTAATATTTGAAATTGATAATTGGTTCTAGCTCCTGCGGTGGAACACTGAATATTTAGGTTCACGTTTTCCTATAGCGTACATATAACGATACCCACCGATAATTCGGTATTTGAATAATCCTAGTCACATTTACCCACGAAATTGCTCCAAATCTGGTATTTAAGAAAATAGGGAAGATGAATATCCTTGAATATCCCCGTTTTTTATGGTTTCTTTACTTTTTTTATAATCTCTTCAAATTTTACGGCCCTTTTTTTAACAGAATGCCGTTCAACAAAGATCTCGTTGCCAATACGGTTTAAGCTCAGTTTTTTGAACAGGATGAATTTATGAAGTTTTAAAGAAAATTTATTAAATAAAATTCAAATAGAACCCGCAATCATGTGACAATCTCCACATCGTTTTCCACCGGATACAATTTTAGTTGGCTGCATCGATTACACTCAAACTTACTCGATTTTATATTCACTTCAAATTGTCCGTCACTGTTTTAAATGTCTGACCACCGGCATCCAGACACCAATCGATACTAACAGGTTCGTGCAATGTTAACAGACAGATGCAACCGGCTAGATATTATTGAGAAACATCGCTTGATTATTCTCAGAACAAGAAGACCTTTTTACGCTCTTTGAATATTGATGTCAATATTTTGGGGAATTCCCTTTAATTCTGGTATGTAAAATACGTAGCAGAGTGATGTTTAATTAAATATCAATATAATAACCAGTTTTTAAAAATTTACTATTAATAGACCTGTTTGGGGGTATTTGTAAATAATTCATTGATAAATGCACCCAAACAGCACCTATGTATGCATGTAAGTCCCCAAGTAATAGTGATTTTTATAGCCTCCACCTTACATTATATAGAGGGTAGATTAAGTTCGTCATAGGTGCAGACAGCACATATGTATGCAAGTAAGTCCCCACATTATCGTGATTCACCACACATAGTGTGGAGGGTATATTAAGTTCGTTATTCCGTTTTAACTCATGGAAAAAATAATTTTAGACATAACAAAGTATATATATTCTTGATCAGTGTAAAATTCTAAAACATTTTAGACCTGCCAGTCCATTCGTCTGTCCGTCCGTTCGTCGCTAGAGTCAAAACGAATAAAGACAGGGAGCTAAAATTTTCCACAGATCAGTCTTTTGTCTGCAGGCAGGTCAAGTTCGAAGACGGGCTAAATCGGTCCACGATATCGTATAGCGCCCATATAACGGAACCCTTCCATATTCGGTATTTTGATGATTGTAGCCAAATTTTTCAATGAAATTGTCCGAAAATCCACAAAAGGAGTTCCTACTGAGTACTTTAGCCCATGGAAGAGTATTGTCTATATAGGTCCACGGTATCGTATATCCCTTCCTATATCGGTATTTTGATGATTTAGCAACATTTTTTTTTAACGGAATTGTCTAAATATCCATACTAGAAGTACTTTCTAAGCACTTTTGACCCCTGGAAGTGAAATGTCTATGGGCCCAGGATATCGTATAGCCTACATTCAACCCCCGATATTCGATATTTTGACAATTTTTGGGACATTATTTACTGAAGTTTTTTCAAATTTCGTATTTAAAATTCGTAATGGGTATTATAGCCTATGACAAAAAATTGCGTATGCAGGCCCAAGTCTTCGTATAGCCCCAATATGACGGTACATCCCAATATTCAGTAATTTAATGATTTTGGCGACATTATTCACAGGAGTTGTTTCGAATTTCGTACAGTATTTTTTGCTTACCTGCACAATCAAAAATTGCACGACATCTTGTGCAGCAATGCCCAAAATGCAGGTAGCTTCATTGCACTTATCTGCACAATGAAGCAGGTATCTTTAATTTTACTTACGTGCACAAAAAGTGCAGGTATCTTTAATTTTCTATTCGTATGTATTTGAGCATCAGTGGTGTTTTATCCAGCATAACCATCTTTTAGTGTGGCAGAGGAAGCGAGAATATGTTTTTAATGCATGCTCTTTTCTTGTGTTGTTATTGTTTTTGCGAATACAAAAACAAAACGAAGTGGTAGTTTCTAGTGTCTTTTTTGAGTTTGCAAACAATTTTCTTGTGCAGATAAATACAACTTTTGTAACCACATTAAAAAAAAATTACCAAATTTTCGAGGCAGGAATGTCCAATGTGCAGCTATCGATTGGGCACTTAAATACAATTCAAATAAAGGGATTCAGAAAAAAATGGCATAACAAAAGTTTTTTGGTCTGCAAAGGCCAATGCGCAGCTAATGTTGATGCAGGTAAATAGAAACCACTGTATTTAGAGTTCGTAATGGGAACTACACTCTATAACAGAGAATTGTCTACGCAGGTTCAGGTTTTCGCATATGCCCCATATATGAGTACCTCCCTATATTCGGTATTTTGACGATTTTATGTACAATATTCACCAAGATTTTTTTTCCGGATTTTTTTCAGATTTCTTATTTGAATATTGTAATGGCTTGTGACAAAAATTGGCTATGTAGGTCCACGTCTTCGTATAGACCTCAATATAATGGTAATATTCGGTATTTTTAAGAAATTTACAGAATTTTTAACGAATTTTATTTTTTTATACCCTCCACCTTGGAAAGGAGGGTATATTAACTTTGTCATTCCGTTTGTAACATCCTTATATATTCGTCTTAGACCCCATAAAGTATATATATTCATAATCAGCATAAAATTCTAAGTCGATTTAACGATGTCCGTCTGTCTGTCTGTCCGTCTGTCTGTCTGTCTGTCTGTTGAAATCACGATACAGCCCACATTATTTGACGTAGAGCTCCAAAATTTAGCAGAGCTATTTGCATTGTGTCTAGGATGGTTGGTATTGAAAATGAGATATATCAGTCCACGTTCTGGTATAGTCCCCATATAACGGTATCTCCCGATATTCGGTATTTTGATGATTTATGCCACATTTTTTCACGGATTTGTCTTAAAATTGGTATTTGTAGGTCATAGCGGGTCCCTGAGCGTGTGGCAAAACATTGCATGTATAGGTCCACGTTGTGGTATAGCCCCCATATAAAGGTACCTCCCGATATTCAGTATTTTAGTTTTTTTTTACCACATTTTTTCAGGGATTTGTTAAAAATTGTTATTTGTGGGTCATAATGGTTTCCAGCTCCGGTGGCGGAACATTGCATTGCATAATTTGGTATAGCCCCCATATAACGGTACCTCCAGATATTCGGTAATTTGATGATTTTTGCAACATTTTTTCACGGATTTGTCTGAAAATCGGTATTTGTTGGTCATAATGGTTTCCAGCTCCGGTGGCGGAACATTGCATGTATGGGTCCATAATTTGGTATAGCCCCCATATTACGGTACCTCCCCATAATCGGCATTTTAATGGTTTTTGCCACATTTCTTCTAATGTTTCTTTTACCCTAAGGTGGAGGGTATTAAAAGTTTGGCCCGGCCGAACTTAATGTTTTTTTACTTGTTTTTCGTTCCAACTGCTGAACTTAATGCTTTTTTACTTCTATAACTTGATATACCCCGTAGAATCTCTACACTTATCATGTTTTATATTGAACTTCATATCTCGATATTTTCATCTGCAATATTGCCGAAGACACCGTGCATCTAAAGTGCACGGATTTCAAGGAATCTTAATCCGAAAACTCTCAAAAGTGTGTAAGAGGGAAAGGCTGGGTTAAAGGATTGATGGAATTGATACTTGAATTGAAGTGACGAATATCCATGAAGAGATTAACGTGTCGTCTTTAGTCATTTTTGGCTTCATGACCCTATATTACAGAGACCTTGTGATTATTTCCACCATAACTTTTATGTCAGATTTCGCCATGGAAATGAGCGACCTTGATCTCCTTTCAGAGATCACTGGCCAAATTTTCTTGGAGGCATTACAAGACCTTCCATTTAGCCAGTTTTGTTGTAATTTTTGTCTATATGAGAAGAAGTGTGTTAATTGAATTTAATTCTTTGGTTCCTCTTCTTTTGAGGTTACGACCATGGTAACTCCCTGCATTATCCCCCGGTAAACATTAAGGATTTTCTCCAATTTTTTCCATAAAAATTGCAACAATTGTGGGATTGAGCCAAACGATTTCGCAAGGACAACATGAATCAATGGTATCCCAAACAAAATGCCAACACTGTTCTATTTAATTGTCCAGTTTCTTTCCCATAAGGTCAAAAATTTAAATACCAATAATCATAACACTCATTAAATGCGAAGTGATTGCCCCGGTTCTCTTCAAATATCTTCGCTTATTGAGGGATCTAAATAACTGAATTTTGAAAAATATAATCTTTGGAAGAACATACTAAACTAAAAAGCGAATTTTCAAAGACCATTTTATGGAGTACCGACTGAGCTATAAAAGTGAATTTTAAAGAATATTTTCTAAAGGACACCCGAAGTTACAAAAGTGGATTTTTGAATAATGTTTTGAAGGGCATCTAGTGTGAAGAAAATTAAATTGAAAAAATACTATTTTCTGAAGGACACATGAATCAAGAGAAGTTGTTCAAAAACATGTGGTGAAAGAACATCTTAGCTATAAAAGTGGATTTGTAAAGAATATTTTGTAAAGGTCCACTAGAGCTTTATTTAAAAAAAAACGTTTTCTAAAAGACACGCCGAACTATAAATGTAGATTTTAAACGCTTTTTTAAGAATATTATTTAATTTGGATTTTCTAAAAGTATTTTTAAGGACTATCAGCACTAAATGTATTAAACTTGTATTTTCCTTGTTACTTCTCCTACATACAGGGTGAGATAAAAACAAGTAAAAAACATTAAGTTCGGCCGGGCCAAACTTTTAATACCCTCCACCTTAGGGTAAAAGAAACATTAGAAGAAATGTGGCAAAAACCATTAAAATTCCGAATATCGGGAGGTACCGTTATATGGGGGCTACACCAAAACGTGGACCTATAATTACAATGTTTCGCCACACGAACTAGGACCCTTTATAATCCACAAATACAAATTTTTAGACAAATCAGTGGAAAAATGTGGCAAAAACCATCAAAATACCGAATATCGGGAGGTACCGTTATATGGGGGCTATATCAAATCATGGACCCATGCATGCAATGTTTCGCCACCGGAGCTGGAACCCATTATGACCAACAAATACCAATTTTTAGACAAATCCATGAAAGAGTGTGGCAAAAATCATCAAATTACCGAATATCTGGAGGTACCGTTATATGGGGGCTATACCAAAACGTGGACCCATACATGCAATGTTTCGCCACCGAAGGTGGAAACCATTATGACCTACAAATACCAATTTTTAGACAAATCCGTTAAAAAATTTAGCAATAATCATCAAATTACCGAATATCGGGAGGTACCTTTATATGGGGGCTATACCAAAACGTGGACCTATACATGTAATGTTTTGCCACACGCACAGGGACCCGTTATGACCTACAAATACCAATTTTCAAACAAATCCGTGAAAAAATGTGGCATAAATCATCAAAATACCGAATATCGGGAGGTACCGTTATATGGGGACTATACCAGAACGTTGACCTATATATCTCATTTTCAATACCAACCATCCTAGACACAATGCGAATTGCTCTGCAAAATTTTGGCGCTCTACGTCAAATACTGTGGGCTGTATCGTGATTTCAACAGACAGACAGACAGACGGACAGACAGACAGACAGACAGACAGACGGACAGACAGACAGACGGACATCGTTAAATCGACTTAGAATTTTATGCTGATTATGAATATATATACTTTATGGGGTCTACGACGAATATTTAAGGATGTTACAAACGGAATGACAAAGTTAATATACCCTCCTTACCAAGGTGGAGGGTATAAAAACTGCAACAAAGTCAAACGCCATAATTTTTATATAAATATTTTTTAAATTTAATTGAATGAAATAGCATCAAATTTTAAAATAAGTTTAGATTTGTTCGAATTGGTCACCTTTGGCACAAATTATGGCCTTCAAAATATATATATATATATATATATATATTTGTATATATATATAAATATATATATATATATATATATATATATATATATATATATATATATATATATATATATATATATATATATATATATATATATATATATATATATATATATATATATAAATATATATATATATATATATATATATATATATATTTGTGTGTTTATAAAGTAAATTTCGTATTTCATATTTAAAATTCGTAATGGGTACTACAGCCTATGACAAAAAATTCAGTATGCAGTCCCTCGTCTTCCTATTGCCTCCATACAACCGTACTTCCAATATTCGGTATTATGACGATGCGACATTATTCACCGGAGTTGTTCCAAATTTCGTATTTAGATTTTCGTATATAGGGTATTCAAAGTTAGGCCCGACCGAGGTTACTGTTTTTTACTTGCTGATTTTAATATAAACGGTTTGGTATTCCAAATTTAACATATTCTACTCTTTTATTATTTAATCTTACTTTGATAAATATAGTGGTGGAGCGTTAAAAACTCCATGTTGCTAACAATTATGTTGAACAGGAAGAATATCTCCCATTTCCATTGCTGCAGCATTGGTGTGGTAATCCTCAGGAAAATATCGATCACAACGATGTCTTAAAATGACATATGAAATAAATAAAACAAAAATTGTTATTCGTTCACGAAATACAAAATCAAAAAATCATAGTACCTCCATTTCAATCCAAATAGCAAAAATATTACAATGACAGGAGGGCCATTAAATAATCTGCTTAGATCAACCAACCAATTTGCGCTTGGTGAATCATAAATAAGTGTTATGTTTGCTATGAGTTCAATTAGACAGCATATAGTCACCGCGAAAAGCAAGTAAGCATAAAAATAGTACCTAAGGCAAAAGGGACATAATCAAATTGAAAATTAAGTTTTTATTTTTTTTTATTCAACATACGATTCGGTTGGGGGTGACAGCTTCTTTTCGGTCTTCAGAGTTCTAAAAACAGTAACAAGGTAATAGTAATCCGGACATAGAAGAGTGGCATTTAGGCCAGAACTAAATATCAATGATGGCCAGTTGTAGGCTGAAAGATAAAATGGCAATCTTTTACGTTAAAGGGAAAATGAGGTTAGACAAAAACAAGTAAAAAACATTAAGTTCGGCCGGGCCAAACTTTTAATACCCTCCACCTTAGGGTAAAAGAAACATTAGAAGAAATGTGGCAAAAACCATTAAAATTCCGAATATCGGGAGGTACCGTTATATGGGGGCTACACCAAAACGTGGACCTATAATTACAATGTTTCGCCACACGAACTAGGACCCTTTATAATCCACAAATACAAATTTTTAGACAAATCAGTGGAAAAATGTGGCAAAAACCATCAAAATACCGAATATCGGGAGGTACCGTTATATGGGGGCTATATCAAATCATGGACCCATGCATGCAATGTTTCGCCACCGGAGCTGGAACCCATTATGACCAACAAATACCAATTTTTAGACAAATCCATGAAAGAGTGTGGCAAAAATCATCAAATTACCGAATATCTGGAGGTACCGTTATATGGGGGCTATACCAAAACGTGGACCCATACATGCAATGTTTCGCCACCGAAGGTGGAAACCATTATGACCTACAAATACCAATTTTTAGACAAATCCGTTAAAAAATTTAGCAATAATCATCAAATTACCGAATATCGGGAGGTACCTTTATATGGGGGCTATACCAAAACGTGGACCTATACATGTAATGTTTTGCCACACGCACAGGGACCCGTTATGACCTACAAATACCAATTTTCAAACAAATCCGTGAAAAAATGTGGCATAAATCATCAAAATACCGAATATCGGGAGGTACCGTTATATGGGGACTATACCAGAACGTTGACCTATATATCTCATTTTCAATACCAACCATCCTAGACACAATGCGAATTGCTCTGCAAAATTTTGGCGCTCTACGTCAAATACTGTGGGCTGTATCGTGATTTCAACAGACAGACAGACAGACAGACGGACAGACAGACAGACAGACAGACAGACGGACAGACAGACAGACGGACATCGTTAAATCGACTTAGAATTTTATGCTGATTATGAATATATATACTTTATGGGGTCTACGACGAATATTTAAGGATGTTACAAACGGAATGACAAAGTTAATATACCCTCCTTACCAAGGTGGAGGGTATAAATATACACTTACGGCTTATCCAACAAAAATCTCCACTAATTCCCGACTTAAATTCACTTGAAATATTTAAATAATCCAATGTTAATAAAATTATAGTCAAACCCATTGGTATGCCCACGGCATATACAGCAAAACGTTTATCATCCGTCTGAGAAGTTCTTGCCGTTGCCACTCGCCGTTGGTATAAATTAAAATATATTACATTTAACCAGGAATGTTGGACCGTCTGAAAAAAATAGCCACCATAACCTACGGCATACAATGTCTATATGAATCAGTAAGACAAAGATTTTAAAGAAAAAATACTTTTACCCAAGAGTAAACACAAACATGGTGGAATTGTTGAATTATACGTTTCGACAAGCCATTGAAAGATACTGCCAAAAATTGTGTATAGCAACAGCGATCGTTCAATTTTTCTTACTCGTTGAATGGCCATATAGATGTACATGAGTATTCCTCCTACAGGTGAAAATACTTGTGAATAAAAAAAATATAAATTATTAATTATAGTTCTGAATTTTTCAAGTATATTTCTTAAAGGACAAGACTTGGATTTTAGGAATATTTTCTAAAGGTTGTGTGTACTTGTGTGTGTATGTGTGATATTCAAATCCAGGATTTTAAGGAACCTTTTTTAAATGGACAATCAATCGTACATTTTATAAATTTAAAAACTTTTCCTCTTAAAAAAATCCATGATTAGTATTCTTAAAAAAATATCAAAAATCACTATGAGATGTTTGGAAAATATCCTTAAAATCCATTATAAGTCTATAATTAGTTATTTAAAGATATTTTTGCAAGCGGACAGTCATGGATTAATACTGGATTTTTAAGAATTTCTTTTAAATATTTATTTTTAATGATATTTTCCAAAGAAGTAATCGAATCGGATTTCCGAAGAACAAATCGAGGATTTTTTAATTTTTTTTGCCAAGGAACAGTGGATTTGAGGGAAATTTTCCAAAAATCTAATCGTGGTTTTTGAGAATGTTTTTACAATGTTTTCCAAAGGACTGACGTGGATTTTTAAGGTTAATTTTAAAGGATATTTCGAAGAATTATTTCCAAAGGATTGAGGATATCAATATACATGGATATTTTTCGTGGATCATGGTTTTTAAAGGAATATTTTTTAAGGATATTTTATAAAGCATTTATCGTGAACTTACAATTAATAATTACAACATCCCGGCTGATCTCCTCGTTGTTTATCGTTAAACACAACATGGGAGTCAATATCATATCTATGCCACTCTTTTTTGGTGTCAACATCAGGCAATAGTCCTGCGGTGACAAAAGAGTTTCTCCATTCTGTATTGACAGTGTTCCATTGGCATATAAGTTCCACTCCATATTCATCGAATTGAGGTTTTGACACGGTTTATCCGAAAACAATTCGAAATCTTCCAAACCATTTGTTTCACAGCCAATGTTGGGATTGGTAATATACATCCCCGTGGATTGTTGACAACAAAATTGCAGACAATTGTTTTCTCCATCACAAATACAAGCACGTGCATGCGGTTCTATGGGAATGCGTTTGCCATCATCAGCAACTTCTTCATAATCGTACATTACAACTTGCTTGGCAGGTATGAAAATTTTGCTTTCATATAAATAGGATCCATTGGGGAATCTATGGGCAAGCCTTAAGTCTATCGTGTCTTCAAATTTGCAGGAATTTATTGTGTCGGCACTGCTAGTGTGTACCACATACAATAATGCTAGTAGCGGCAGAGAGGAAATTTTGTTTTTCGGATTCATGGCAGATTATGAAATAAAAAGCTGAAAAAAAGTTTTTTTTGTATTTTTAATTTTTTTTTTTAATATTGAGGTGTAGTTTGAGGTCAGTAGAATTGTAAGAGGTCGTCTATGAAGTAAAGAACTATCAGAGGTCTTATATCAGAAGTCTTCAACCTTTGTGGTTCTGCTAGAATATTTAAAATATTTTTTTTTCAGAGATCTTGAATCCATAGAAGACCAGTCAGGGTTCAGAGTTATGGAGAAGTCTTAAAAAAAATTGGAAACCTATTAGAGGTTTTAAGGGCTTTTAAGAATATATTTTAATGAACTAATGTTGGAGTTTTGAGGATATTTTTCAAAATTATTTTCCAAAGCACTAATCTTAGATTTTTTAAGAATATGTCCAAAAGACTGAGTGTGCATTTTCAAGGTTAATTTTAAGAATATATCCAAAGAACTAATTGTATTTATTTAAGGATATATAAGAATTATTTTCAATGTAACAATTTTGAATTTTTAAGAATTTTTCTCCTCAGAACATGCCGTAAATTTTTAAAGAACTTGTAAAGAAGGTTATCGAAAGAGCACATCGTGATGATATATCTTAGAATTTTGATAAGGACAAATGGTGGAATTTTTAAGGATATTTTTATGACATTTTTTTTTAGAATATTTGCTAAAGCAGTATTCATAGATATTTTAAGGATATTCTTTAGAATATTTTCCATAGGACCGATCTCCGATTTATAAGCATATTTTCTTCATCTGATTATGTTAAGGTACCATTATATGTGCGCTGTTGACAAATGTGTACCTTGATATTCAAGGTTCTTCTACTGGAGCCTAAACGCATTACGAACTATAAATACCAATTTTTAGACTTAAACCATCAAAATACCGAACATTGGAAGGTACCTTTGTCCGGGCAGAATTCGTTAAAAATTCTAAATTATAAATTTGGAACAAAATTCCGTTAAAAAATGTTTCAACAATTGTCAAAATGCTGAAAATCAGGGGCTACAGTTATATGGGGGTTATACCAAAACATAGACTGATATATCTCATTTTCGATACTAACCATCCTAAACACAATACAAACTATTGTACCAAATGTTACTCTAAGTTACATCTACGTCAAATAATAACGGTCTGTATCGTGATTTCAACCGACAGACAGGTAGACAGACGGCCATCGTTAAATAGAATTGACAAATTTAATATACTCTCCTTTCCAAGGTGGAGGTTATACAGATTATATGTTTACGTTTTTCTACACTCCACCATACATTGTATGGAGGGTAGATTAAGTTCGTCATTCCGTTTGTAACTCATCGAAATAATAATCTTAGACACAACAAAGTAGGTATATTTTTGATTAGCGTAAGATTCTAAGACGATTTAGCCCTGTCTGCTATAATCACGCTTGGGTCAAAACGAATAACGAAGATAGGAAGCTAAAATTTTGCACAGATCAGAGTCTTTTGTCTGCAGGCAGGCTATATCGAAGATGGGCTATATCGGTCCACGATATCGTGTAACGCCCATATAATGTTATTCCCCATTATTCTGTATTTTTATGATTGTAGCCAAATTTGTCAATGATATTGTTTGAAAATCCTTCGGAGTACATTACTCTCTGGAAGAATATTGTCTATATAGGTCCACGAGATCGCATATCGCCAACATAACGGTGCCTCTCTATATATTTGTTATTTTTATGATTTTAGCCGAATTTTTTAATGGAATTGTCTAAAAATCCATGCTAGAAATTCTTTTTAAGCTCTTTATCACCTGGAAGAGAAATGTCTATAAAGGTCTACGACATCGTATAGCCCACATACAACGTACAACCCCAAATATTCGATATTTTGACGATTTTAGGGACATTATTCACCGGAGTTATTTGAAATTTCTTATTTGAAATTCGTAATGGGTACAGCCTATGACAAAAAATTATGTATGCAGGCCCACGTCTTCGTATCTCCCAATATTCGGTATTTGGATGATTTTAGCGACATTATTCACCGGAGTTGTTTCAAATTTCGTCTTAAGAGTTCGTAATTACAACTTCAGTCTATGACAGAAAATTGTCTATACAGGCGCAGGTCTTCTTATAGTACCTCTCTATATTCGGTATTTTGATGATTTTAGGTACAATATTCACCGAAATTGTTAGAAATTTCGTATTTGAAGTTCCTAATAGGTACTACAGCCTGTGATAGAAAATTGTCTATACAGGTCTATGTTTTCGTATAGGCCCAATATAACGGTACCTGTATTTTGATGATTTTAGCTACATTATTCACGGGGCTTCTTTTCAAGTTTCTTGCAATGTCTTATGAAAAATGTTTCCTATGCAGGTCCACGCCTTCCTATAGATCCCAATAGAACATATGGTATGTCTTGGATTTTAAGAGAATTTCTAGCAAATTCCAAATTAGTCCGAAATTATGGAGAGTATTCAAAGGCATATTTACAGACTCTTTAACTTGTTGAATTTTTATTTTAAATACCAACGGAAGATTTACTTGATCGCATGTTATTATGAGACCCTGGACAAAAGAAACGGCCGAACTTTATAGTTCTCATAGAAATATATCATTAAAATTAGTTTATTAAAAAAACAAAAATTATTTACGACAAATTTGGTACTTTTCAGAATTCGCTGTAGATTTTCTTAGGACTGCACTGTGCCACTGCCAATTTGTTGAGTATAAAATTTAATGTGTATTCGGTTTACAGATCAAAGCCCCAAAACGATTTTTGGTTTCTCAATATTTTCTAACAACTATGAAAAAATGAAGAATTCATCGTCATATCCATTTAAAGTAGAGTACTACATCCCCAATTGTGAAATTGGTAGGTGGGGGGGGGTTAAGTTTAGGCGAAGTTAATTGCTCTATTATTAAAAAACAATCAACTCTAGTGTGAAGTGTTATCGTATTCAGTTAATTCGATACATAAATATATACATCACATGTTGTAACGCCACTAAACCTATGATTATTATCATTATTTTTTTTTGAAAGTTTATAGCTCATCACGGCTATAAAAGTGAAAGGATTACACAAATTGATAACACAATCGCGTAACCCTTGTCAAGTGTCGGTTTGGTAATTTACTAAAATGAAAGATAAATTTAAAACGTTTATGCGCGACTTTTTTCCTTCGAACGTGGAAAAGGGAGAAATCGGTTCGGTCAAACTGAATATTTGGTTGGCACAAATCACTGGTGTGCCCATAATAGGTCTGAAGAACGAATCGAGTCTGATCAAAAACCTAATTTTGTTATATGGCATTTTTACAACAACTGTAGTGACTTTCATCTACACGGGTTTTGAAATGTACGACTTGTATATGAATTGGCACGATTTGGATAGTTTAACACAAAATACTTGCCTATCTCTTACCCATGTCTCGGGCGCCATAAAGGTTGGCTGGTAGTTGCATGTTTTTTATGTAGATTTGAGAACGGTTTTACATTTTTTTCTCATTTTCATTTCAGACGGTTAACATAATTTTCCATCTGCCACGCCTTGAGGGTGTCATACGCAAACTGAAACATGTCACAAAAACCTATATAAAATCGGAAAAACAAGTAAGTCTGAAGTTTGAAATTGGGTGGTGTGGTGTTAAATGTTTCGAGTTTTTAATTTTAGTTGGTTGTTTTCTACGATGGTGAGGTGGAGAACAAATTGGTTCTTAGTATTTACATAGGCATTGTGGGCTTTACCGGATTCATGGGCATGATAATGTTATATATGAGTAAGTTGAAATATTCAATATATATATTGCGAAATTCCACAACACAGCTTCTTAAGACTAATGATCACACTGAGCGGCAACAATTCAATTTTTTCAATAATTACAGGGAAAATCCAGCAGATTATGAAAGTAGAGTTAAAAATAGTAGACACGTTTATCGACGTTTTGAAAGCTTACATTGCAAAGTAAGACAAGTTCACCCCTCTTTCATATTTTTTGCAATTTTCGGATTAGCATTGCTTGAAGTCCCTCAGACTCAGGTATTAGTATTATGGTCAATATTGCAGATAACAAGTTATAAAGTATCAGTCGGTTTTGCCGACGGAGGTTCAGTTATTCTCATATATAGTTTGACTTCGGTTATGATTATTCAAATTGTTGACCCTCAATGGAGTAGGTTCTCAAGGAATGGGATAAAATTTTCCATTTCCTATGGAACCTAAATATATGTCATATAAATATTGCGACGTGCCAAGTTTGGACTATATTGGTTACTTCCTGCACTCTATAGGATATATGTGATTGTTTTTAGAAGGAGGTTGCATGCTTATTTTACTTCTTTCGAGCGTTTTTATACCCTACACCACATAGTGGTAAGGGTATTATGTCTTTGTGCATTTGTTTGTAACATGAAGAAGGAAGCGAGATAGACCCATAGTTACTTTTGAGGATCTCCATAGAATCACTTTCTGAGTTCATTTATGCATGTCAGTCCGTCTGTCCGTCCGTCCGTCTGTCCATGTATTCTTGTGAACAAAATGCAGGTCGCATTTATTACCCGATTGAGATGAAATTTTGCACATATCATTTGTTTGGCCCAAGGACGAACCCTATTGAAATTGGAGATAATCGGTCAAAATTTAGATATAGCTCCATATATATCTTCGTCCGATTTGCCTTTTATTGTGCACCAAAGGTGTAATAATAGTTCGAATAGGATGGAATTTTGCACGTACGATCAGATTGGACCTGAAAATAAGTATGCCAAATTTGATCGAAATCGGTTAAGATATAGCTATAGCTCCCATATATATTGTTCATCCGATTTGTTATTTTTGTCCACCGCCGCCGTAATATGCATTCTACAACAACAATTTTTGGGGAAATATATCAAATACAGCTTAGAAATACATTTGCTAAATTTTATCGAGATCGGTTCAGATTTGGATATAGCTTCCATATATAACTTCGTCCGATTTACCTTCTATTGTGCACCAAACGTCTAATATTTGTCCAAATGGGATGAAATGTGGCACTTACGACCGAACTGAGTCTAGAAGCTAGTATGTCAAATTTGGTGAAGATCGGTTCAGATATAGCTATAGCTCCTATATATATTGTTCGTCCGATTTGTAGTATTTGTTACCCACAGCCGAAATATGCACTCCGTAACAACAATATTCAGGGAAATATATCAAATTAGGCCTGAAAATAAGTATGCCACATATGATCGAAATCGGTTCATATATAGCTTTAGCTCCTATATATATGGTTATATATATCTTTATATATCTTTATCCGATTTTAAATTAATTTAGCACCAAATGGGCAATACAAGTCCGAATTTCGGCATATTTAGTCCTTTGAACTTTAAATTATAATTATAATCATAGCGTGTATGATTGAATTTTCCCATAAAAACTTTTAATTGTTATGTGGAGCTCTACTAAATTAGCAAAGTGGTGTAGGGTATCAAAAAGTCGGCCTCGCCCGACTTTAGGACTTTCTTTACTGGTTCAAAATTTCGAACACTATTTGGGAAGATACCAGAAGAAACGATCCAATCTCTACCATCGTTATAGCAGATCTTGGGTTAATGGAAATAGTGAGTGTACGTAAGTCTGAATGGAATCAGAAGTTAATTTCACGTTTTACGAGTTATTAAAAATTCTGACCCTTTGTGGGAAAGTTAAAAGAAGAAGTGTATCGATATATTCCATCTTCACCTCGGACCGTGGGTTAATAACATATTGTAATGTGTGTAATTTGAGGAAAATCAGGCACTTACATTAAATTTCAATAAGAGCTATAATTATTCAATATTTTGACTCATTGTGGCAGAGATACTTCATGGAGTGCACCGATATTGTCCATTTTCTCACATGACCTAGAGCTGATGCAAATATTTAGATTTGCAAAGATGAAGCAAAATCGGATGATCCTTTGTGGCCAGTAAAATATTTCTATGAAAATGTCGACCTTTTGTGAAGGAGGTACCAGAAGTAGTGGACTGATATTGTCAATCTCCGATTGTTTGATAATAAAATTACGATGTATCAAGTTTGGACCAAATCGAGTAGCCCCTTCGCTAGATCGACTACAATTGTCCTGAAACGTTATTTCGATGAGGCACGTTTTTGTCTGTATCAAATGATATATACCTATCCTCTCTCTCTAGCCATATGGCTGAATGTATAAAAAGGAAAAATTCTAATTTTGCAATTTTGTTCGCAAAATTAATGCATTAAAAAAAAACAACAATATTTGTATACAGTACAAAAAATTATATATTTTGTACAGTACAAATTATACACATTAACTTGATTTCGCCTCCAAACGGTTAGTGTCAGAATTGAAGCGAATAACAGCAATAATGATATGGCAATAACTACAAATATCAGGTTCTTGTCAAGAATAAATAAATAGGAAGAAAATGATGTGGCTAACTGTGGACGCCATAAATTCGAAAAAAAAAACAATAATACTTTGTAAGTCAAAAAACATTCATAGGTAAAACTCAGCAGATTATGAAATAGAGCTAACAAGAAACCAGTAAAGAAAGTCTTAAAGTCGGGCGGGGCCGACTTTATGATACCCTACACCACTTTGCTAATTAATTAGAGCTCCACATAACAATTAAAAGTTTTTATGGGAGAATTCAATCATAAACGCTATGATTATAATTATAATTTAAAGTTCAAAGGACTAAATATGCCGAAGCATTTCTATCTTTTAAATTCGGAATTGTATTGCCCATTTGATGCACAATTAGTTTGAAATCGGATGAATAATATATATGAGAGCTATATCCAAATCTAAACCGATCTCGATAAAATTTGGCAAAGATATTTCTGAGCTGTATTTGATATATTTCCCTGAATATCGTTGTTACGGAGTGCATATTACTGTTGTGGGTAACAAATATAACAAATCGGATGAATAATATATATGGAAGCTATAGCTATATCTGAACCGATCTTCACCAAATTTGACATACTAGCTTCTAGACTCAATTCGGTCGTAAGTGCCAAATTCCATCCCATTTGGGCAAATATTAGACGTTTGGTTCACAATAAATGCTAAATCGGACGAAGTTATATATGGGAGCTATATCCAAATCTGAACCGATCTCGATAAAATTTCGCAAGTGTATTTCTGAGCTGTATTTGATATATTTTCCCAAATATTGTTGTTGCATAGTGCATATTACGGCGGCGGTGGACAAAAATAACAAATCGGATGAACAATATATAGGGGAGCTATAGCTATATCTGAATTTTGGCATACATATTTTCAGGCCTAGTTTGTGTGTATATGCAAAATTCCATACAATTCGGGCTGATATTACACGTTTGGTGCACAATAAAAGGCAAATCGGACGAAGATATATATGGGAGCTATATCTAAATTTTGACCGATTATCTCCAATTTCAATAGGGACAGACGGATGGACGGACATGTATAAATCGACTCAGAATGTGATTATATGCAGATTATCAAAAGGAACTATGGGTCTATCTCGTTTCCTTCTGCCTGTTACAAACAAATGCACAAAGACATAATACCCTGACCACCTTGTGGTGTAGGGTATAAAAAGCAGTAAATATTTTTTTTACCTCCACCATTTGGAAGGAATTTAACAAATTTCAACGAATACCGAAAAATACCAATACCATGCAAATGATGACCTTTATACGGCGGCTATAGGAAGACGTGGACCAGCATAAGTTATTTTTTCATTGGCTGTAGTACCCATTAAAATCTTCAAATACGATATTTAAAACAAAGTCAAGTCAGATTGTCTTTAAATTTAGCTCATCTCAATACTACTTCCAACACGAGATCTGGTATGAAAAACCCATAGAACGGACCACTTCTTTTGCCACCTCTGGCTAGTGAAAATTTTGAAAACGCGAAATGAGCATCCGGCAATATTTCTGCCAACACCAAACTAGGTGTGAAAATGAAATATATAAGACAACTACTTCTGGTACCTCCCTTACTACGAGTTTAAATTTTGAAGAATTATAACCGCCATCAAATGCGAAATAAACATTCGATTCTCTCATCTCGATTCGAAGCACAAAACAAATAAAAATAGGGAGCTAAAATTTTGCATAGATCAGCCTTTTGTCTACAGGCAGGTTAACTTCAAAGATGGGTTATATCGGTTGACGAAATCGTATAGCACAAATATAACGGTATTTGGTATTTTAATGATTGTAGCCAAATATTTCAATAAAATAGTTTGAAAATCCACGAACGGAGTTTTTTTCTGAGTATATTATCCCCTAGAAGAGTATTCTCTATATAAGTCCACGATATCGTATATCCTCCATATAACGGTACCTCCCTATATTCGGTAACAGGGTGAGATGAAAAAACTGCAACCAACATCAGACTGCTGTCATTTCTAAGCCACTCGTCCGACAGCTGTTAAAATTATTCCAGTGACAGCACATTATATTGTTTACAAGCGAACATAAACATTTTGGTGACAATTTTCCAGAAAAAAAGTTATTCGTGAAGGAATTCAAGCGTGATAGTGTGATTTCTTTACATTTGACTGGAAAACAACAAGTGGCTATCGTTAGAGCACTCCAGCATTTAAATGTGAATAAATCTTTTGTGTCTCGTACCGTCGCTCGTTACCGTGGTACTGGTAGTGTAGCCCGACGTCAAGGAAATGGACGGAAGAAAACAGCAACATCAGCAGAAATGGGTCGAAAGGTAAAGAAGCGACTCGATCGAAACACGCGTCGCAGTGGCCGAAAAATGGCTCGTGAGCTGAACATATCGCAATATGCCATTCGGCAAATATTGAAAAATGAGCTCGGAGTAATGCCACTGAAATTCCAAAAAGTGCAATAACTTACACCGCAACAGAAATAAAATACACTCAGAACAGCTAAAAAGTTTCTTCGCTTGGCCGAAAGTGCTGAACTGCCGAATTTGGTTTTCTCCGATGAGAAACATTCCAGCAGTTTGTAAACAAACAAAATGATCGTGTTTACTTGCCAAAGAGTTCAGCTGAAAATGTGTACCTTCGGCTGGCCATCAGAACTCAAGCGCCGGCCATGGTGATGGTGTGGGCCGCCACAACATCCGATGGTTGCTCTCCGCTGGTAGTAATCGATAGTGGCATCAGAATAAATGTCGAATATTATCGCTAAAATATTCTGGAGGGTGTAATAAAGCCTTGTGCACGCAAACATTTTGGCCGCAGACCTTGCAGACATTCCAACAGGACTCAGCACTAATTTTTTGGCAATTTCTAAATTCGTTCCAAATGGGGGAACTTTTTGCTTTTTTACTTGTTATTCTTGGTATATATAAATGTTTCTTCCAATTAAGGATCTGATGTGAATATGGAATTTATCGAACACTATTTTTCGGACCTCTCCCACAAAAGAATAAAATTTTGATTAACAATTACTCACGTAATAATTCAAAATAAATGTTCGATTTTCTTTAAATTTTGTATATCCCAATATTTTTATAAGTATTGGATGAAGTGGAATAGCTTGGTTCACTATATCTGGTACCGAACACCCATTTCAATATTTTCAAAAAATTATCAGTGAAGGAAATTGTCGATATTGTCGACATTGACTTAGGTCAGAAACGAATTGGACCGTTACAAGTTCCTAATGACAGAAATAATGTATACCGCTCGAATGCGCCTTAAAGTTCGAACCGATCGACCTGAGGTGCTTTTTATACCCTACAACACTATGTGTTGGGGGTATTATAAGTTTGATTGGGCCAGAATTTATGTAACACCTCAAAATATTGGTTTCCCACATAGGAAAGTATATATGGATCTTCCTAGCTCGCCGAGCTGAGTCGATCTAGCTATGTATGTCCGTCCGTCCGTCTGTCCGTCTGTCCATGTTAATTTGTAATCACTCCACAGGTCGCAATTATGGCCGGATCTTCACGAAATTTAGAATGGAGGTGGGGCTTAGGTCAGAATAGAACCCTATTTCTTTTGGAGATGATCGCATAATATTTAGGGGTTCAAATGGACCAAATACTGAAAAAATGTCGGATTTTGCTGTAGCTATACAGGTCTCAATTATAGACCAATCGACGCGGAATTTCGCATGTAGCTAGGGTTTAGGGCGGGGAAGAAGCCTACCAATTTGGGTGGTCATCGGATAATATTTAGCGGGTAAAATAGACCATATCTGTTGTGTTGAAAAAATTCAAAAATTTTCATTAAACCGCGAATATTTTAAATACCGGCGAAATCACAAAGCCATGACAAGGTTCCTTCTGACCTTTAAATTGATGTTAACATCCAACAAATCGGATATATAGCGAAATATGTGCGATATATATGTCTATCAAAGAAGATATGCTTGAAGGATCTCTTATATGTCGAGAACGGCTGAACTGATTTCGACAGTTCTCATTAATTCACAATGGCCTCTTGGCAGGAAACATAAAACTTCTAAAAAAATCGCATAAACTCTTTGTAGAATTCAGAAAGACGCACTTCTGACTATTTCGTTAACGCTGATTTCGTTGAAGAATATAGTCAAATGTCTGTATCTCATATAGATGCGTTTCAGTCAAAAACCAATAATAAATGTTAATCTTTTGCCACTTCTGAGAGATTATAGGTCTTTGGGAAATATTGGTTCCAGATCTAGGAAGACCATTTACGTGCAACATCTACCAATAAATTGGAAATGAGCAAATTAGCTTAAGTTGCTATTATTCGAAAATTAGAGAACGAAGCCTGATGGTTTTCTTTTATAATTTGTCACAATATCTTGTGGAATTCTTTCGAGTATCTCGCCTATATAAACAGTATCGTTTATTATAGTGTTGTAGGGTATTCAACGGTCGGCCCCGCTCGACTGTAGCCTTTGCTTACTTGTTTTTTGTTGTTTCCTCTATATTTTCAGATCCTGAGGCTGTTGCTGGTAAAATCTTCCCCTATCGTGTCATCTTGCCAGACTGGATGCCACAACAGCTACAACTGCTCTACATGGGTTTGAGTGTCATTATCTTTGCCATACAAATCATTGCTGTGGATTATTTAAATGTGACGATCATCAATCAAATTCGTTTTCAACTAAATATTTTAAATTTGGCTTTCGATGATCTGATTGTTGAGACTCAAGCGAATAGCAGGGAAACCAAAAGTTTGGTGTTATACAAAGATGATCCGGTGAAGAGAATGGATTCCATAGTCGAACATCATTGTCTGCTAAGAGAGTGAGTCAGACTGTGTGTGTGTGTGTGTGTGGGAGTGGATACTTCTTTCCTCCACCAGCTACTTTCCCCAATATCGGATTTTGTTTTGACTCGTTGTTTTTTTTTTTTTTTTGCCTTGTTCTAGACTACGTCAAGAAACTGAGGATATTTTTAGTCAACCTATATTGTGGCAGTTCATGACATCCGTTATTATCTTTGCCATGACTGGTTTCCAGGCAACCGTTCGCTCCAGTGGCAGCAGTGCGGCTGTACTTATTTATGCCTATTGTGGTTGCATTTTTTGTGAACTTTTCGTTTACTGCTGGTTTGGCAATGAAGTCTCCGAACAGGTAAGTTGTGAGCCGTGAGTGAGCAATGACGGAGAATGGAGGGGCGGGTGGAGGGGGCGATGTTGCCAATGGGATGTTAACGATTAGTGACTTGAACATACAATAAGGTTCGCTTGAGAAAAACATTGCAGAGGGTTCAACATGTTTATGTTCTTGCGGTTGGAGGGTTACCTACATCGATGCCTTCCTTGCTTCCTTCCTTCTGTGGCTTACGATGGATGGCAGACACGTGATAAAGAAAAACAAGTTTCCTGTCAAAACCAGTTTTCGAAGGAAGAATCACATTAAAGCCAACGATCTGCCACAACGCTCAGTTTGAAGTCAATGAATGCTTACATACTACCACCAAAGTTAAGATAAGTTTAAATTTCTGTCCGTTTCGAAACAAAACAGAGAGGAACTAAGTAAACCCACAAAAAATAAAAATAATAATAATCAGAAACACGTCTGCGAACATGCGTAGAAAGGTTAAATAACGCATTTAATATATTTTCCTGAGTGATAGGCGGCAAGCTACACATGATATGGCAAAATGTTGTCCAGAATATAAAGCAGAACGGATGAACAGATTAATAATGGTCGGTCCAGTACCCAGTGGCGTATTTTGTTGTTGACAACTGTGATATTAATTTCTTTTGAAAAAGGTGAGAAATGTGGAACAAGAATGATGGATGAGTCCATGGTTAGAGATGCAAGCCGCATATTTAGTTAAAAGTTGAAATGGTAGTGGGAAACAGTGGTATTGATGGAGAGGGTTCGTAAAAAATTAAATATTAAATTATTTGGAAGAATGGATTCTTAGTAATCACAGGTCACAAGTAACAATAATATAATCGTGATTTTCTGGGATACCCTTTTGAAAGCCCAACGCGGCTATAATGATTGACGTCTTAACGAATTAAAAAGCATCAGATGTATACCCTTAGGCAATGATCGACTCTGTTATGATTATTCAAATTGTTGATCCTCTATAGAGCAGGTTCCGAAAGAATGGCCCAATATTGTACATTTCATACCGGACCTAAATAAATATGATATACAGGGTGAGATAAAAAAAACTGCAACAAAGTCAAACGTCATAATTTTTACATTTTTTTAATTTTATTGAATGAAAACAAGAAATGTCGGAAATAATTTCAAATTTTAGAATAAGTTTAGATTTGTTCGAATCGGTCACCTTTGGCAAGAATTATGGCCTTCAAAGGGCAATGACGCCGTCACACGCTGCCCGAATGTCGCTCTGCGGTATTTCGGCCCATTCCCGGCGAAGCGCTTGCTTGGGGTAGTCGACACTTTGGTATTTTTTAGTGCCAACCTTGCTTTCCAAAATATTCCAGACACAATGGATCGGTATCCGGAGATTTTGGTAGCGAGGAACTTAATTTTGTAACCGTTGTTGGGTGTCGCGTGCTGAGTGCAATGTCCTGTTGGAATGTCCAAGGTCTGCGGCCAAAATGTTTGTGTGCCCGCCCAAGGCTTAATACACCCACCAGAATATTTTCGCGATAATATTTGGCATTTATTCTGATGCCACGGTCGATTATGGTACGATGGTACGAGACACAAAAGATTTATTCACATTTAAATGCTGGAGTGCTCTAACGATAGCCACATGTGTTTTTCCAGCCAAATATAAAGAAATCACACTATCACGCTTAAATTCCATCACGAATGACTTTTTATACCCTACACCACAAGGTGGTCAGGGTATTATGTCTTTGTGCATTTGTTTGTAACAGGCAAAAGGCAACGAGATAGACCCATAGTTCATTTTGATGATCTGCATAGAATCACATTCTGAGTCGATTTATGCATGTCAGTCCGTCCGTCTGTCCATGTATTTTTGTAAACAAAGTACAGGTCGCATTTATTGCCCGATCCAGATGAAATTTTGCAAAGATCTTTTGTTTGGCCCAAGGACGAACCCTATTGAAATTGGAGATAATCGGTCAAAATTTAGATATAGCTCCCATATATATCTTCGTCCGATTTGCTTTTTATTGTGCACCAAACATGTAATATCAGTCCGAATTGTATGGAATTTTGCATATACACCCAAATTAGGCCTGAAAATATGTATGCCAAATTTGATCGAAATCGGTTCAGATATAGCTATAGCTCCCATATATATTGTTCATCCGATTTGTTATTTTTGTCCACCGCCGCCGTAATATGCACTATGCAACAACAATATTTGGGGAAATATATCAAATACAGCCCAGAAATACATTTGCTAAATTTTATCGAGATCGGTTCAGATTTGGATATAGCTCCCATATATAACTTCGTCCGATTTACCTTTTATTGTGCACCAAACGTCTAATATTTGTCCAAATGTGATGGAATTTGGCACTTACGACCGAATTGAGTCTAGAAGCTAGTATGTCAAATTTGGTGAAGATCGGTTTAGATATAGCTATAGCTTCCATATATATTATTCATCCGATTTGTTATATTTGTTAGCCACAACCGTAATATGCACTCCGTAACAACGATATTCAGGGAAATATATCAAATACAGCTCAGAAATATCTTTGCCAAATTTTATCGAGATCTGTTCAGATTAGGATATAGCTCCCATATATATTTTTATCCGATTTCAAATTAATTGTGCACCAATTGGGCAAAACAAGTCCGAATTTGAAAGATACAATTGCATCGGCATATTTAGTCCTTTGAGTTTTAAATTATAATTATAATCATAGCGTGTATGATTGAATTCTCCCATAAAAACTTTTAATTGTTATGTGGAGCTCTACTTAATTAGCAAAGTGGTGTAGGGTATCATAAAGTCGGCCCCGCCCGACTTGAAGACTTTCTTTATTGTTTTTTTTTTCAAATCTTGAACCCTATGTGGGGGAGGTACTAGAAGAAATGGTCCGATCTCTACCATTTTTATAATACATCTTGTTTGAATGAAAATATTGAGATGTGGCAAGCCTGAATGGAATCGGATGTTAATTTCGCGTTTTATGAGCTTTATGGAGAATTTTGACCCTTTGTGAGGGAGGTATTTGATGGAGATATTTTCCATTTTTACACCTGCCCTAGCACCGATGCAAATAGTAGGATTTGCAAAGTTGGAGCAAAATCGGACTATCTTTTCTCTTTCTGTGCAGCAGAATATTTTTTTGAAAATGTCGACTTTTGCGGGGCATGTACCATAAGCACTGGACCGATATTGCCCATCTCATAACTCGATCTAAGTTTGATTATAATATTATGATATACCAAGTTTGGACCAAATCGGATACTTCCTTCGAGAGTTATCGTGCGCACCAGCCAGAAGACAGAATGACAGACAGACGGAAGGACGGACATCGCTAGATCGACTTCAAATGTCTTGAAACTGATATGGTCTAGGGTCTAAAACCGTTATTTCAATGAAACACATTTTCCTGCCATAAGGCAGGAACATCGTATTTTCTTTTAATATTTTTCTGCTAGAAATAAATATTTTGAAAAAAGTTCACAATTTTAATGCTGTTCATAGCGATTATCTTTAAAAAAATAAAGGAATACATAAAAATTTTGTTTCTGCTGTTACACAGCTTGTATCAGCCAAAACACAATGGAGTGATGACATCATTTTTGTCTTTTATGATTTGCTTCTTTTATGCATTCGGTTTTGCCAGAATTTTGTGGCTGTCAATGAACTTTTTTCGTTACACTCAGAGACGAATGAGAACTTTGCACCCCCATTTGAGGCAGTGTTTCGTTTGTTGAGGTGATGAAAATGATTATTATTGCCTTAAAAATTAAAAAAAAAAACGAATGAATGAATGCATGCCATTGTTTGTTGTTTGATTTAATTACATGTGGATTTTAGAGAAATTTTTGTTATTGCCAAAAAAAATTTTGTTGTGAAAACTTGTATATTTGCGGGATTTTGTATAGCACTGACACCTTTTTGGAATTTTTTTGTAATTCACATTTTTTTTTGAATACACAATGTAATTGTATTCCAAGTAAATGTTCAAGAATCTCGAAATGCTTATTTGATACCCCACAACGCTCATAATATATTTTAAGAAATCTTCAAATTCCATATATGAAATTTTACGACAATAAGTGTCGGCGGGTCGGCCACTTTTTATACCCTACACCACATAGTGGTAAGGGTATTATGTCTTTGTGCATTTGTTTATAACATGGAGAAGGAAGCGAGATAGACCCATAGTTACTTTTGAGGATCTCCATAGAATCACTTTCTTAGTTGATTTATGCATGTCGATGAAATTTTCCAAACAACATTTGTTTGGCCCAAGGACGAACCCTATTGAAATTGGAGATAATCGGTAAAAATTTAGATATAGCTCCCATATATATCTTCGTCCGATTTGCCTTTTATTGTGCACCAAACGTGTAATATCAGACCGAATAGTATGAAATTTTGCACATACAACCAAATTAGGCATGAAAATAAGTATGCCAAATTTGATCGAAATCGGTTCAGATATAGCTATAGCTCCCATATATGTTGTTCATCCGAAACCTTTGCTAAATTTTATCGAGATCGGTTCAGATTTGGATATAGCTCTCATATATAACTTCGTCCGATTTACCTTTTATTGTACACCAAACGTCTAATATTTGCCCAAATGGGATGGAATTTAGCACATGCGACCGAATTGAGTCTAGAAGCTAGTATGCCAAATTTGATCGAAATCGGTTCAGATATAGCTATAGCTCCCATATATGTTGTTCATCCGATTTGTTGTATTTGTTACCCACAGCCGTAATATGCATTCCGTAACAAGGATATTCAGAGAAATATATCAAATACAGCTCAGAAATATCTTTGCCAAATTTTATCGAGATTGGTTCAGATTTGGATATAGCTCCCACATATATCATTAACTGATTTCAAATTAATTTTCCACCAAATGGGAAATACAAGTCCGAATTTAAAAGATACAAATTCTCCGGCATATTCAGTCCTTTGAACTTTAAATAATAATTATAATCATAGCGTGTATGATTAAATTCTCCCATAAAAACTTTTAATTGGTATGTGGAGCTCTACTAAATTAGTGTGTAGTGGTGTAGGGTATCATATAGTCGGCCCGCCCGACTTTAGGACTTTCTTTACTGGTTATTGTTTCATTTTTTTGTTCATGAAAAAATGTGCAATATTTCCACATTTGTGTCAACAATCCCCACACCATGTGTCGTACAAAAATAAATATTTGCAGTCTTCCTCAAAACAATAACATGATAAAGACCAATATAATATGAAAAAAAAATTTCAATAATAAGATATTGAAAGTAGTAGTATAGTTTATAAATCGGATTTAAAGATATATTTGGGAGTTATATCCAAATCTCAACAGATCTCAATAACATTTGACAAATGCATTTCTGAGCTCTATAAGATATCTGGTACCAAATATCATTGTTGCGGAGTGCATATTGCGTATGTGAGGGACATAAAGACCAAATTGGATGAGACATATGGAAGCTATAGCTATATCTGAACCGATTTTCACCATATTTGATGTACTTGCTTCCAGATTGAATTCGTCCGGATGTGCCAAAATTCAGGGCATTGGGCCTGATATTGGCCATTTGGTACACAGTTAACCCGAAATATGGTATATATGGGAACTATATCCAAATCTGAACCGATCTTGACAAAATTCTGAGCTGTATCTGATATCTGGTACCAAAGATAATTGTTGTGGAGTACATATTACGCATGTGCGGGACTTAAAACCCCAAATCGGATGAAACATATATGGGAGCTATAGCTATATTTGAACCGATTTTCACCGAATTCTAAATACTTGTTTCTAGGATGAATTCAATCGGAACTGCCAAGATTCATGTCATTTGGACTGATATTGGTCATTTGGTACATACTTAACCCGAGGTCGGACGAAGAACTATATATTATATATATGGGAGCTATATCCAAATCTGAACCGAACTTGACAAAATTGTAGGCACTTATATCTGAGCTGTATCTGATATATGAGATGTATCTGATGCAAATTATGCTATGAGGGACTTAAAACCTCAAAGCGTATAAAACATATACAGGGTGAGACGAAGCAAGTAAAAAAAAACATTAAATTCGGCCGGGCCAAATTTTTAATGCCCTCCACCTTAGGGTGAAGGAAACATTAGAGCCCATTATGACCCACAATTACCAATTTTTAGACATATTCATTGGAAAATGTGCCAAAAATCATCAAAATACCGAATATCGGGAAATACGGCTATATGAGGCTATACAAAAACGTGGACCTATACATACAGTGTTTCGCCACAAGAGCTAGAACCCATTAAGACCAACAAATACAAATTTCTAGACAAATCCGCGAAGAAATGTGGCAAAAACCATTAAAATGCCGAATATCGGGAGGTAACGTTATATGGGAGCTATAACAAATCGTGGACCTATACATGCAATGTTTCGCCAAAGGAGCTAGAACCCATTATGACCTACAAATGCCAATTTTCAGACAAATCCGTGAACAAATGTGGCAAAAATCATCAAAATTCCGAATATCGGGAGGTACCGTTATATGGGGACTACACCAAAACGAGGACCTATAATTACAATGATTCGCCACACGAACTGGGGCCCATTATGACCTACAACTACCAATTTTCAGAGAAATTCGTGAAAAAATGTGTCAAAAATCATCAAAATACCGAATATTGGGAGGTACCGTTATATGGGGACTATACCAAAACGAGGACCTATAATAACAATGATTCGCCACACGAACTGGAACCCATTATGACCTACAACTACCAATTTTCAGAGAAATCCGTGAACAAATGTGGCAAAAATCATCAAAATTCCAAATATCGGGAGGTACCGTTATATGGGGACTATACCAAAACGAGGACCTATAATTACAATGATTCGCCACACGAACTGGGACCCATTATGACCTACAACTACCAATTTTCAGAGAAATCCGTGAACAAATGTGGCAAAAACCATTAGAATGCCGAATATCGGGAGGTACCGTTATATGGGGGCTATACCAAATACATGCAATGTTTCGCCACCGGAGTTGGAACCCATTATGACCAACAAATACCAATTTTTAGACAAATCCGTGAAAAAATGTGGCAAAAACAATCAAAATACAGAATATCGGGAGGTACCGTTATATGGGGATTATACAAAAACGTGAACCGATATATTTCATTTTCAATACCAACCATCCTTAACAGAATACAAATTGCTCTGCTAAATTTTGGCGCTCTACGTCAAATAATGAGGGCTGTATCGTGATTTCAACAGACAGACAGACAGACAGACGGACATCGTTAAATCGACTTAGAATTTTATGCCGATTATGAATATATATACTTTATGCGGTCTACGACGAATATTTAAGGATGTTACAAACGGAATGACAAAATTAATATACCCTCCTTTCCAAGATGGAGGATATTAAAATGAAAAATTATGGCGTTGGACTTTGTTGCATTTTTCTATGTCTCTATGTAATTTAGAAAATATTCTCAAAACTTCAAAAGGATTTCAAGTTCTTAGATCAAACTTATAAACGGATCGAATGTTTACATTTACACCACTGTTAACCACAGCTAAAAAAAAAAACTCTATATTGTGATTTTAACCACAAAAGATCTGTCTTTCCCTCTCAATCTCTCCCATTTAGCTGGAAGATAGTAACAGCGAACGGCAACATATATAATGCTTGGTCTAAGGTGTGAAGAAAAACGACATAATACATGAAAACGGCGACATTCAAAATTTGTAACACGTAGCGCAGACACAATTTGAGGCGGGTCTGCCCCAACAAGAACAACTGCAAAAGAAAAAACAAAATTACCGACTAAAAACGCGGGTGACTTAGACGTTGCTGTCTGGTGTCTCTCTGTCTGTCTTTTCTCCGGGTGACGTTAATCTTTTTGACATATGTCGTTGATTTATGAAGTCATTTAAGTCGGAGTAAAGAGGTTGCAGTTTTTCCAGATTAAATTGCTAAAAATAGGCGTGAAGTGTGTGGCAGATTGATTGTTCTCATGGTTGAGGGTGGATACTTGGCAAAGCACGAATTGTGAAAAGATATCGAAATCATGGAGAGTAATAATTTAGAATAATTTATGACAAACTAGAACAAAATATTCTTAATTATATAGAAAAAAAACAACAAAAAAACAATACTGGTAGCGTAGGCCGGCATCAAGGAAGTGGACGGAAGAAAACAGCAACATCAGCAGAAATCGTTCGAAAACTAAAGAAGCGACTTGGTCGAAACTCGCGTCGCAGTGTCCGAAAAATGGCTTGTGAGCTGAACATATCGCAATATTCCATTCGGCAAATATTGATGAATGAGCTCAGGGTAAAGCCATTGAAATTGCAAAAAGTGCAAGAAAATAGACCCAAAAGAGCTTCGCTCGGCCGAAAGTGGTAAACATTCTTTGTCCAACAGTTTGTAAACAAACTTTTCAAAGAGGTCAACTGAAAATGTGCGCCTTCGGTTGGCCACCAGTACTCAAGCGCCGGCCATTGTGATGGTATGGGCCGCCATAACAGCGAAAATATTTTGGAGGGTGTATTAAAGTCTTGGGCATGCAATCGATTTGGCCGCAGACCTTGGACAATCCAACAGGACTCAGCACCATTCGCTTCATTTCCAACGCACAATGGCCATTAAAATTTCCGGATACCAATCCATTGGACTTTTGCGTCTGGAGTATTTTGGAAAGCAATGTAGGCACTAAAAATATCAAAGTGTCGATCACCCCAAGCAAGCGCTTCGACGGGGATGGGCCAAAATACCGCAGAGCAACATTCGGGCAGCGTATTATGGTTCTATTGGCCGTTTGAAGGCCATAATTCGTGCCAAAGGTGACCAGTTCGAACAAATTTAAAGTTATTCTCAAATTTGATGCTATTTCCGAAATTTTTGCTTTCATTGAAAAAAATTAAAAAAAGAAAACTGTAAAAATGATGGCGTTTGACTTTGTTGCTGTTTTTTTATCTCATCCTGTATATATAATGGTTGGATCTAACCCTTGACAATGCATTTCCCCACTACACATTTTAAAATTATTGACCCTTAAAAAATAATTGATTTGAATGTGAATTTTCCATTCTCTTTTCAGAGCAAAACTCTCGGAACCAGCGGATTTCACTCATCATGGTATCATTTTGATCGACGTTATGGCAAATCTCTTCTGATATTTCTCACAAATGCCCAGAGACCATTTGTATTCACAGCTGGTGGGTTTATGGGCCTCTCTTTACCCAGTTTTACGGGAATATTAAGTAAATCGTACTCTTATATTGCGTTGCTGCGACAAATCTATGGCAAATGAAACGAAGAAGAACAAAGAGAACCTTGGATGGAATTAAGTTGGAGATAAGGAGGAAAACGAATGGTTCGACCAACACTCACACACACACACACACCCGCTAGCTGATTTTACTCTCTTTATTGTTGTTGGCACAATCAGTCAGACATTAACCGATTACTGTTGTTTTAATTAAAATGTAAACAAAACAGTCTAAGCACAATGTACAATGAGGGCAAAATACCAAGAACAAAAATGAAAAAAAAAATAATATAAATAAATGAAAAATGTATAAACAAATAATGATTCATTATTAACAAAATCTGAATGAAAAAAAAAACATTGTTTTAATTGCTCAACAATGTAGATTTCCATTTTTTATTATGTGCGAAAAAATTGGGGATTAGAAACATGAAATGGACACCTAAGGTCCCTGGCCCAAATCTCCGTGGAAAAACATTCTTAAAAGAAGCTTAAAGATTTCTTCCTAAAAACTCTTAAAAAAGCTCTGTTATTGAGGAAAATCTGTGATGATGGGTCTGATAGACATCCGGAAAACCCCACACAACGATACTTTAATTGTTCCCATTATACATACATAATTATATTACCATCGAGGGAGCAGATTACAAAGAATATAAATTATTGCTATTATTTTGAAAAAAAAAAAAAAAAAAACAACAATTGTTATTAATTAACATTGGAGATGATGAGGATGATGACTGACTGACAAATTGTCCAAATACATACAAAAACAACAAGGAAACTGATTAAAATAAATATTTTAATATATACATATATATATATATATATATATATATATATATATATATATATATATATATATATATATATATATATATTTTAATCAACAAAAATTTATGTGACATTTTTATGACGCAAATTATTGCTCCAGTGCTGGGCTGGGTGACTGGCTGGCTGGCAGCAGTACCACATTGGAAACAAACACAAGGTTCCTTATTGACATTGAGTCGCCGCCTCAAAAAAAGGGAAAGCAATTGCAAATAAATTCTTGTTGAATTGTTTCAAATGGAGTAGATGGTAATACGATTTTCATATGACACCATCGCCAGCCATTGGTTCGTATGTATATTTACCGCAAAACATGAAAGGAAACATATCTGAAGACAAATCGCACCACAGAGTGGTTGGTAGTTCAATATCCGATTGAAGCGTAAAATTAAAAAAAAAAAACAAGCAAAGGCTACAGTCGAGCGGGGCCGACCGTTGAATACCCTACAACACTATAATAAACGATACAGTTTATATAAGCGAGATATAAACTGCACGTAAATGGTCTTCCTAGATCTGGAACCAATATTTCCCAAAGACCTATAATCTCTCAGATATGGCAAAAGATTAACATTTATTGTTGGTGAATTGTGAATTCTCCAAAAAGTCACTGGAATGGACATTTTCGTATTTTGTCTACAAAAGTTGGCAAACTCTTTCACACATTGAATATTTTTGGATGGCCATCCAAAACTGTTTGGTTTGTGCAATGTCCGGTAACCTCCATTCAAATCTGCGTGAGGATTGGGCGATAATTACGACCTGCTGACAATTTTGCAGTTTTGTTGGTCCATTTCAACCCCTAAATATATGGCGATTATCTCCAAAAAGAGTAGGCTTCTATTCTGACCCTCATCTTATCCCCATGCAAAATTTTGTAAGTATCGGGCCATAAATGTGATCTGTATATGATATCCTGATATCCTAACTACTTAGTTCTGTTAGCTGTAGAAATATTACCAAATGTTTAATTCAAAATGAAAATATGCCAAAAATATGACAAAATTGAAAAAATATGAGAAAATGTTACAAAATCAATATTTTTATCTTTAGAGAGATATTTTTATGCGATTTTTTAGACGTTTTTTCTTTCCTGCCAAGAGGCCATTCTGAATTAATGAGAATTGTCGAAATCAGTTCAGCCGTTCTCGACATATAAGAGATCTTTCAAGCATATCTTCTTTGATAGACATATATATCGAACATATTTTGCTATATGTAAATAAATGTAAAGATCAGAAGTAACCTTGGAATGGCTTTGTGATTTCGCCGGGATTTAAAATATTCGCGGTTTAATGAAAAATTTTGAATTTTTTCAACACAAAATATACCCGCTAAATATTATCCGATGACCACCCAATTTGGTAGGCTTCTTCCCCGCCCTAAACACTAGCTACATGCGATTGGTCTATAATTGCGACCTGTATAGCTACTGCAAAATCCGACATTATTTCAGTATTTGGTCCATTTCAACCCCTAAACATTTGGCGATCATCTCCAAAAGAAATAGGCTTCTATTCTGACCCTAACCCCACATCCGTGCAAAATTTCGTTAGGATCGGGCCATAATTGCGACCTGTAGAATGATTACAAATTAACATGGACAGACGGACGGACGGACATACATAGCTAGATCGACTCAGCTCAGCGAGCTAGGAAGATCCATATATATTTTCCTATATGGGAAACCAATATTTCGAGGTGTTACATAAATTCTGGCCCAATCAAACTTATAATACCCCCAACACATAGTGTTGTAGGGTATAAAAACCAACTGAAAGGTTTAATAATATGAGTAGTTCGTGGAAGTTATGTGCAAATTGTCTAAAGTCTGACGGTAAATATCAGTTGATACGTCCAAAACGTGTGCTATGTCTCTTTGGGCCAAATTCTACCATTAGTATTTGTGTTAGGTCAGGTACGAAAAGTGCCAATATTGGCCCATTTTATCAAGTACCTCTCCCACAAAGGATCAAAATTGTGAATATTCATAACTTTTATAAAATGTGAAATGAGATCCCGATTCTTCTCCAATTTCGCAAATGCCAATATTTTAATAAACATAAGATCTGCTAGTAATAGTGTGAGGTGAAAAAAACTGCAAACAACTTCAGACTGCTGTCATTTCTAAGCCACTCGTCCGACAGCTGTTAAAATTATTCCAGTGACAGTTCATTATATAGTTTACAAGCATACAAAAGCATTTTGGTGAGAATTTTCCAGAAAAAAAGTTATTCGTGATGGAATTCAAGCGTGATAGTGTGATTACTTTATATTTGGCTGGAAAAATACATGTGGCTATCGTTAGAGCGCTTATGTGTCTCCTACCATTGCTCGTTACCGTGATACTGGTAGCGTAGCCCGATGTCAAGGAAGTGGACTTAAGAAAACAGCAACATCATCAGAAATGATTCGAAAGGTAAAGAAGCGACTTGAACGAAACCCGCGTCGCAGTGGCCTAAAAATGGCTCGTGAGCTGAACATATCGCAATATTCCATTCGGCAAACATATAGAAAAATGAGATCGGGGTAAAGTCATTGAAATTCCAAAAAGTGAAAGAACTTACACTGCAACGTAGAGAAAATGCGCTTCGCTTGGTCGAAAGTGGTGAACTGCCGAATTTGGTTTTCTCCGATGAGAATACATTCGTTGTCCAACAGTTTGTAAACAAACAAAATGATCGTGTTTACTTGCTAAAGAGGTCAGCTGAAAATGTGCACCTTCTGTTGGCCACCCGAACTCAAGCGCTGGCCATGGTGATGGTGCGGGTCGCCATAACAGCCGATGGTCGCTCTCCGCTCGTGTTAATCGACCATCGTGGCATCAGAATAAATGCCGAATATTATCGGGAAAATATTCGGGAGGGTGTATTAAAGCCTTGGGTACGCAAACATTATTGCCGCAGACCTTCCAACAGAACCCAGCACATGCCACCCAAGAATGGTTACAAAATTAGGTTCCTCGCTTCATTTCCAGCGCACAATGGCCACCAAAATCTCTGGATACCAATCCGTTGGACTATTGTGTCTAGAGTGTTTTGGAAAGCAAGGTTGGCACTAAAAAATACCAAAGTGTCGATCACCTCAAGCAAGCGCTTCGCAGGCAATGAGCCAAAATACCACAGAGCAACATTCGGCAGCGTGTGACGGTTTCATTGGGCGTTTGAAGGCAATAATTCGTGCCAAAGGTGAGCAATTCGAACAAATGTAAACTTATTCTAAAATTTGATTCTATTTCCGACATTTTATGCTTCCAGTCAATAAAATAAAAAAAATTTTTGCAGTTTTTTTTATTTCACCCTGTATAGCGGACAATATTTGCAATTAACTCCCCCACAAAGGGTCAACATTTTGAATACTTATAACACTTATACCATGCGATGCACTCGTCGGCGATTCTCTTTAAATTAACTATATTTCAAAGATTCGGTCGGGTCAAAATTTTGAATATCTATTGAGCTCATAAAAAGCAAAAATTACATCTGATTCCATTTAGACTTGGCACATCTCAATATTTCTTTCAACACAAGATCTCTTATAAAGCTGGTAGAGATCGGACTATTCCTTCTGGTACCTCTCCCACAATGAGCATCCAAATTTCACACATACAAACATTTTCGCTAAAACAAAATCTGTTGGATATAAATGTTGGTTTTTTTGTAATTTTGCCCATACCAATGTCTTTATCTGTATTAGGCAAAGTATGAAATTTGAATACTTCGGTCGACTATATCTATTATTACTATCTTATATAAAACAAGTAAGCAAAGGCTATATTCGAGCGGGGCCGACCGTTGAATACCCTACAACACTATAATAAACGATACTGTTTATATAGGCGAGATATTCGAAAGAATTCCACAAGATATTGTGACAAATTATAAAAGAAAACCATTAGGTTTCGTTCTCTAATTTTCGAATAATAGCAACTTAAACTAATTTGCTCATTTCCAATTTATTGGTAGATGTTGCACGTAAATGGTCTTCCTAGATCTGGAAACAATATTTCCCAAGGACCTCTCAGAAGTGGCAAAAGATTAACATTTATTATTGGTTTTTGACTGAAACGCACCTATATAAGATACAGACATTTGACTATATTCTTCCACGAAATCAGCGTTAACGAAATAGTCAGAAGTGCGTCTTTCCTGTATTTGTGAATTCTCCAAAGAGTCACTGGAATGGACATTTTCGTATTTTGTCTACAAAAGCTGGCAAACTATTTCACACATTGAATATTTTTGGATGGCCATCCAAAACTGCTTGGCTTTTGCAATGTCCGGTGACCCCCATTCAAATGTGCGTGAGGATCGGGCGATAATTACGACCTGCTGACAATTTTGCAGTTTTTTGGTCCATTTCAACCCCTAAATATATTGCGATCATCTCCAAAAAAAGTAGGCTGACCCTCATCTTATACCCATGCAAAATTTCGTAAGGATCGGGTCATAAATGCGATATCCTGATATCCTAACTACTTAGTTTTGTTAGCTGTAGAAATATTACCAAATGTTTAATTCAAAATGAAAATATGCAAAAAATATGACAAAATTGAAAAAGTATGAGAAAATTTTACAAAATCGATATTTTCATCTTTAGAGAGATATTTTTATGCGATTTCTTTAGACGTTTTTTCTTTCCTACCAAGAGGCCATTCTGAATTAATGAGAACTGTCGAAATCAGTTCAGCCGTTCTCGACATATAAGAGATCTTTCAAGCATATCTTCTTTGATAGACATATACATCGCACATATTTT